TAGATGAAAAAACTTTTCTTCCATCAGGAAGTTTTTAACCAGGTCTTTCCCTAACAGAGCTCACTGCAGCATTACACAAATCTCAGTCCTGACACCAGGCAGTAACAGGCTTTTCATAACCAAGAGGGCGAGAGAATAGCAATGAAACAGTTCCATTTCATAAACTGAAAAGCGTGAATAACGTGTTCAGGAACATGTACAACGTGATATGGGTCGAAGTGCCAGCTTGGCAAGGGACCTCCCCTGTAACTTAGAAGCAGTTGGCACCTAGACAGTACCAAACACAAGCTACATTTTAATACCTAGATTCTAAGAGTAAGATACTACAAAGAGATAACAGAGAAAGGATTACCTCTCCCTTGCGCGAAATGTTGATCTGTTTGCTGGTATAATTATAGCCACTAGGAATCACATCTCTGGTAGGTTCACCTAGAACAACAAAGTCCTGCCATAAGCTACCTCCCAGCCAGCCCAGTTGACAAACACAGCTCATAGCTCTGCAGCTCAACTGGAACAGGGTGCCCACAGAAGTTGTGGACACCCCATCCCTCTAAGTTCTAGGTCAGGTTGGATGGGACTTTTAGCAATCTCACCTTGTGAAAGATGTCCCTGCCCTTGGTAGGGAGATTGGATTCACTGAATTCTCCTTCAGACACATTGTCACTGACTACAAAAGTCTCACTGACACCTAGGCTAGTAAGTTGCAACTTTGTGATGGACCATTTTTACCTCTGAGCTGTTCCACAGGAACATTGAGGCAACAGCCTAAGGAAAGAAACTGTCCTGTGTGTTTGTCGGTTTGCTCATTTTTTGTTTTTCTTAACAGATAATTTCCACTTGTATTTAAATTCAAGTAGCCACGCCTGAGAGAGACCAACGTTTCAGAAAGCTGCAGTATAAACAGAGAACAATCAAGTTTCAGTGCTTAGCAACTAAATCATTAACCTATTTGGAGGGAAATACTTCCTTTACCAGCATGGAATGCTGTCCCCAAGGCATTGTTGTAAAAACAACATAAAATACATGGATTTTTACAGATATTTGTTCATATGCACATAAGATTCTTACAGTGTTCTCCAGCTCAATAGACACATTTTAATAAGTGCATATTTAGGGTAGAAGGGGTTTGCTGATCTTCAGGCTTTGAATAATGCAGTGAGGATCATGACACCAGCATCATCTAGGATACCAGGAGAGCTTCAGTAACTGTTGGTAACATTTTGGTACCATGACACTAGTGTCATGATCCATTCTGCTTTGATTGGTCTGCCCACATCTTTCATGTCTCTCTTCCCTTCCTTCTGCTCCCACAGCTGGGCAGGGGGGACTGCAAGGAGGGAGACGGACCTTCATTCCAATCATTTATTCTGAACCCAAAGGGGAGGTAGGTAAAACCTCTGCAAGTGTGCAGTTGAAAGGTCGTAAAAAGAGTTTATTGCAGCCAGGGTAAAGGAGTCAAAGCACTCCAGTACCTCCTAACATAAACAACTTCATCATGGTCTGCAGACCCCATTCTATAGCACAACCAGAAAGGCAAGAGATTAGCAAAGGTAGAGACCCACCATAGATACTCCTACTCACAGCTCACCGAAATGTAGTGCCCTTGACCAAAAGGATAAGTAGCATGACACCAAGAAGCATCATTTTCTATAATGATATAACTTGACTCTCTACCATGATTACATAGTAAAATAATTATTATTTTCCTGGATGTAATTCAAACCTGTACCAGGATATTCCACCAGTGCAACTATGCCGGAAATGTTTTTGTAATTTAGATTAATCCTGGATTAATCTATGAGATTGTGGAGGAGTTAAAAAAATGCACCTAATTAGCATATACCCTGTGTATATGTACCCTGAGCTGCTACTCAGCCACAAGTTTTCCCTTCTTAATAAAAGTACTTTAAAAACTTTATCCTACTCATTAGAGGGAAAAAAATCAGAACAACCAACCCACCCAAATGAAAACAGAGGAAAAAAAGTTTATTTATTAATAAAAGGTTGTCAATGTATTTTCAGGAGATACGCAAAAATACTCGGCAACAATTCTGAATCATCAGTTCTTCTCTGAAACGATCTCCAGAACAGTCCAAAGCCCCAAACCAGAATAAACCTCCCGACCCAACACACTCCTGTGCGCAGTTCACACGAAAATACAGAAGTGCACCTTGTCCCTGATAAGCAGCGGGAGACTCGCTATTGTTCTCCAGCAAACCTCACCCACATCCCCGTTGACTTTATTGCGCTCCCAGGACACTGGGATCAAGCGCCTTCGGGAGGGCTCCCAGCCCGCGGGCCGGGCAGACCTGGGGCGCGCCGGGACCCCCCGACGGCAGCCGGGGCGCGGAGCCGGCCGGTGGGCGCAGCGCTGCCGCCCGGGAGAGCCGGCTCACCGCTGCCTCTGGAAGGCAGAGAGCCGGCGGAGAGCAGCACCCCTCGCGAGAAACACCCTTCCAAGCCCACCGGGCCGCGGCTCTCCGCAGTCTGGACACCCTCCCCGAGCCGCTCTCGGCACCGACATCGGCGGACCCGGCGCGGACCCCCCCGCCCCGTCTCTGCCCGTCCCGGAGCGCAGCCCTGCCCGCCCCGCCGGCGGCCGCTCCCGACCGCCCCGGCGTACCCAGGATCTCCTTCCTGCGCTGCGTGTGGGGCTGCTCCGTGTAAACCCACTCGAAGTCCTCACGGGTAACTCGATTCCCCATGGCTCCCGCTGCGCCCCGCGCTACTCTGCCCTTATAGCTCTGCGCTGCTCTTATAGCTCCGCGCCCAGGGAGGGGCGGCTCCGCCGGCCGCCTCCGCCCCGCCGGTAGGCACTAGGGCTGCGGCTCCTGTCGGGTGTGCTGGAGCTGCGGGAGCTGCACAGCCCCGCCGTGGTGTGCAAGGGGACCCGGGAGAGAGAGGATGCCTCAGGGCTTGGCTCTGGGGGCAGCGGACGGGCGGCCGCGGTTCGCTCTGCTGCGGGGACCTCGAAGGCAGCTGGGAGGGGTGTGGAGGGGGATGGGCATGTTCGCAGGGCAGCAGGTTCCCCACATCGTGCTACTGCCACTACCGGAGCTCAGCACAGCCATTGCATCCATCCTCGCCTGGGACGGCCTCTGAACACAACGGGAACTGCAGCGCTGCAGGTCCCCGGGCACTTCCAAGACGCGGCTTTTGCAAAGTAAAGGTGGTCCAAACGCCATAAATCCAGAGATACGGCCCTAAGCAGAACGTGGCTTAGGGCAAAGCCCAATTGTACGAGCTCCTTCCAGGGGTGGAAGACCTGGGACAGCACAAATGCGACCAATGCCTGACACACACTTCATTGCCACTCTGACAAATCTTCGTGAGCTGTCCCGGCAGAATCCAGCCCTTGGCTGTGTCACACTTCACTCCTGCAGCTCTGCGGCCCATTTCCCAGGTACTGGGAATTCCTGCTGGAGTAGCAGGAAATCACACTGCTGCTTTGGTAACAAAGCCAGGCAAAGGACTAGCTAACCTTAAAACTGACATAACCTTTCTTTCCTCTCTAGCCATTCTGATTCACAGGGAGAGGAGTTAGACGTTACATAGTGATGTTTCTACACACATTCACAACCCAAAATTAAAGTGCTGCCCTTGTTCCCACTATGTCCTTTTGCAAGTCCATACCTGACCCGCTGTCCAGCTTCATTCACAATCCCTATCATTAGTCCTTCCATCGACAACATCATATATGGATCAGCTCCAATTTTGTTTCATTCTTTTCAATATGAATCTTTCTAACACCCTTCACACTCTTCTACCCTTAAAAATGCTTATAACAGCTGGCAGATTTTAACTGGGGGGGTGAGCCACCTTTAAAATGTGAAATGTCAATATTTTTCAGCAATAATTGTTGCCTACAAACACTGGCAACTTACTTCAGTCTGGTGGAACTATTTAAGATTTCTTGGTAGCACAGTCACATATGGGTTAAAAAACAACAGCTACCAAACAACCCACAAACCCCAAATCCTGATGCTTGACTGCTAGAAAGCTGTAGGAGGCTTTTTTGATTATTGTTTTTTTTTCCTTTCCTGAAGTGGTCTAAATGTAAATCCCTGAATGATTAAAAGTCTAAAGCACGTTGAGTGGAAGGACTACGGTGGAAAGGAAAGCAGCTTCACCCACAGCAAGAGCAAGACTTTAACCAGTTTGCTCTTACAGGTCAGCTTTCTATAAGTACAAGGGTTTCTTCACCATTACTCCAGCACGAGGTTGGTGCTCTCCCACAAAGTTGCAGGGTCCAACCCAGGTAATGAACTGTTAATCCAAGTGAAAGATATTACATGTTTCTAGAAGAAATGGATTGTTCAGAGAGCAGATGCATTGGTATCTCAGCCTAAACCTTTAATTGGCTCAGACGTTTTGGCGTGTTGACAGTATCGGTGGAGAAGCCAAAGACAATATGAGCGTGATGACACCCTTCTGTCACTTCCTGCTCAGGAGTGCTCAAGGTGACTAAAAAAGTAAATTAGAGAGGCAATCCATGCAATTACAAAGAAAACAAATATGACTTCACCCCAAAAGTTTGTCCAGTAGGACAGTGCTATTGCATATTGCAAGTTACGCATGGAAAGTTAAGTATCTCCTTTGTAGGCAACGGCATCTCCTTTATGTAGCTCATTACTATAGACTCAGCCTGACCACATGAGAAGAACAGAAAGCTTTTCTGTCTCCAGTGCACTGGCATCTGTTGTTGAGAACAGAATTTCACGCTTTCTGTTTCTGTAATAAGCCAAACAAATCATACTAATTCAAGAGTAATTGTGGATGCCAGACAAACAAGAAATGCCAGCTTCAGACCATCTTCTAGAATTGGCAAAAGTATTATCTAGTTCTGAACCTTTGGCATCCTTAGTTTTACAGCGTCCTAGTAACAGTCATTCACAAAGAAAAAGTAGGTGGGATTTAAACGTCACACAGCAATAATAGCCCTTTTAATGAAGACTATAATGATTGTGAACTCTACAGATTCATGCAGTCACTACACTTACTGGCAGCTCAAATGTGCTTCACATGGTCAGGTTCTCACAGCTGCAGCCTTTCTTTCTTCAGCAATTTCCTATACTTGTTCAGGATTTCTAAATATTGGGAAGCCTAGCCGAGAGAAATTCCAAACACACTCAAGAGGAGGAGCACAGCTGCTGACTCTGTGCAGAGTACCATCAAAATATCTTGTTTACATAGTTGTAAGTACACATCACACCTCCAGCAACCTAGGATAAAAAAAGACAAAAATGCTTTGCTTCACTGAGGACATGACATAAGATATACAGCTCGGAAGCAAGACATATCGGTCCTCCCTTCCACACACCCAGGCAGACTCATACTTCTCCACCCAAAGCTGCTCTTCCATCATGAATGTATTTCTGCTACACAATCCAGCTACTTCCTCCTTCTGCTCATTGAAAGAGCAGGTGACAGAGTAAATACAGCAGGAACACCTGCACACGTCTCCTAGTGACTACTGCCAGCCTGCAGAGCAGGCTTGGGTGTTTGAGGTTATCTTAATTCTGCCCTGGTGTGCAGGCCTTAACTCCTCTTCTGTTTCCAACGATTAACCTTTATTAAACTCGATGTTCTGGAACTAAAATAAAGTTGTCTGGCAATTTTATCTCTAAATAAAGTGTTTTCTCATCTGAATTAAGAGCTCCATGTCCCATGACAGACTTGTATTTTCAGTTACTGCATTACCTACTTTCTTTCTGCCTGTATAAATTGGACTTCGCTGCCAGAAGAAAACACAGCTGTGTATTTACCTGTTTATAAAATATTTTGCAGTCATTTTGAAATGAGTGTCGTGCTCTGACTTGACATAACTAGTGCCAAGGTTTACAACCTGACATACTTTATTGAACAAATTTTCATAGGCAGCATAGTTTGTAGATGAGCCATGTCGTCAACACACACACCGAAGTTAGCCTAGCAGAAACAATTTGCCTATAAACCCTGTTTGCTGTTTTAGCCTCTCACCTGTGCTGACCCTTCCTCGGGGCATTCTGGATTTCTCTTTCCACTGGGTTAGCTCCATGCCAGAGCTGTGAGTTGAACTGACCAAACAAAGGTGCTGAGGAGCTGGTGCAACAGAATCATAGGGGGATAAAGCCATGCTCCTTTTGGCACTGGTAGGTTGTTAGATACACTTGGTTGGATTATGCGTAACGCACCTTTCTGATGCGTTCATACCAAGGCTGCCCAACAGCCGCGTTTGCCCAGGGCTCGGCGAGCCGGCTCACGGCGTCTCTGCCTGGGAGCTCCCAAAATGAGAAGCGAGGTTCAAAGAAGCAAACAGCTCCCTAGGAGATGGGCTCGCTGCTGCCCAGCTTCGCCCCTCCTCCCCTGCCGCCGGCTCTCCCAGCTCCCCGACCTGTGCGGGGCTCGCATCGCTCACTCCTCGCCTCCCGCAGCCGGCCCCCGGGGCCGTGCGCCGTGGAAATGACCACTTCGCGGGCCAGGAGCAGCGGGAAGCGCTCGGCAGAGCAGCACGGGCGGGGTCAGGTACCTGCGGCACCCGCGGCCCCCGCGCCCTTCGCCGTGCGGGTGCTGGGGCGGGGGTGGCGGCTGCGCGGCCCAAAGGCTCCGCGGCACAGCGCCGCTGCAGCCGGGGCTCGGGCAGCGCCGTCCCGCCGGCAGTGCCCGCTGCGACGCCGGGCTCGCCCGGGGCGGGGAGCAGAGCCGGGATAGCTCCAGATCAGCCCCCCGTCCCCCATCACCGCCCCGTGCTCAGCCACGCCGGGCTCGCCCGGGGCGGGGAGCGGAGCCGGGATAGCTCCAGATCAGCCCCCCGTCCCCCATCACAGCCCCGTGCTCAGCCACGCCGCTCCCGCCGCGAGTGCTGCGCGCCCCCTGCCGGCACCGCCGCGACAGGGTGCCGGAGGGGCGGGGACACCCCCAGGGCAGGGACACCCCCCGGGGCGGGGACACCCCCAGGGCAGGGACACCCCCAGGGCGGGGACACCCCCAGGGCAGGGACACCCCCCGGGGCGGGGACACCCCCAGGGCAGGGACACCCCCCGGGGCAGGGACACCCCAGGGCAGGGACACCCCCCAGACCCGCTCCTTGGGAGCGGCCGCTCGCCGCGGCCTCGGCACCGTCCTCGCTTTGCCTCAGAGTGACTTTCTGCTGTTTTCTTTCATCCCAGCCAAGCCTGACCGTCCCTCTAACGTAAGGACAATCAAGGGAAGGATGGCTGAGGAAGCGATCACTTCGCTTGGTTTGGTAGCGTCCAAGTGTTCCCGCTTCCTTTAGAAATATGCCCTTAAGGAATTAAAAAATGTTTTTAAAATGTTTTCAAGACTATTTTGTCTGAAGACTGACAAATGCAGCGCTGCTGTAACTAACGACACCGCTGTGATCCGGTACACAATGTATTTAGACAGACGGCTCCCGCAGAATTCACATGGAAACAATTTCCTCTTCTATATAAATATTTTTTCTCGTAGTACATTTCGCCCTGCTTCTCAGCTTTTCCAAAGAATCGCAATCTTTCTGCAAAGTAATTTATTCCACGGAGCGCTTTGTGTTGTTCAGAGGATTTGCAATTGCTTTCTCTCATGAGACATATTCCCTGTTACGCACCGTAAGTACTTATCCCATGGATAGCTTATGCTGCCCTCCCCGCAATCTTGGCATTTCAGCAACAGTTTTACTAGGATCCTGGTGCAAACGCCTGAATGGAGTGTGGTAACTAGACTTCTCTTCCACAGCAAAAACGTTACAGGCAAAAAGCAGCAACGCTTGTAATCTCCAATCCAAATGTGAGCATCTAAGGGGTTCACTGCCGACAAGTATCAGGATTACGAGAGAGCTTGGGTTCTGTGAAGAAAGGCGCCAGACTAAACTGGGATTTCTATCCTATCCTCTAAGCATTGATGCAGCTCGTCTCTAAAAGCCCCCACTACTGCACATTGCTGGTCTGGCAGTGCTCTCTAGACCGCAGCTCACCCTCGCAGATCTGCTTTTCCGAACGTATTTCCCGATACTCAGGTTTCAACCTAATGCACTTAAAACCTTTCATTTCAGGGCTGCTGAGCTCACTTCTGACAATAGGAGTCACCCGGGGTTAAGAGAGGTACTTTGTTCAGCCTCTCAAAGTCAGCGACTAAACTTTGAGTGGAGGGAAAAAAAGCCACTTGAAAACGGTTCACTGTGCATGTGTGTATGTATGTGTGGACGTGTAGGGAGAATTTCTTCTGCAGGGAACACTTGGAAAGCAACTTTGATAACCAACAGTGCTAAATTCCAAAGATTATGTCTTTTCACTTTCGAAAAATATATTTAGTTAGTATTTATATTGTATCAACATGTAGAGACCCTCCAAGATGGACTAGGATTTGATTGTAAAATCAGAAAGTAAAATTACAATTTTTCTTTGATGAGTTATAAATCCTTCTAATATAAGCACGCTACAAAATGGATTGATCAGCTTTGCTTACACCTAAGGAGTATGAGGTTTTACACTCATAGTTTAGCACACTGTCAATTGAGTTACAGTATCGATTTCCTCATGGAAACCTAGCTAAGTTGGTTTAATAAACAAAATAACTGTCCTTGGGCTTTCTTGAGACTGTGGCAGTTTATACATCTTATTTATTTTCATTTATTTAGCCTTGTTCATTTCAATCTGAGACTATTTTTCTTTCAAAATGTAACATAAAGTCTAGGGGTAAATCTTGCCTAGTGCTACTGGGATCTGTCCGGCGACTTCAGTGGAAGCCGAGAGGCTCAGCACTTTCCAGCATCAGGTCTAGCGTCTGTAACCCAGGGAAATGCATATGCAGGAGGGTTAGGGAAGCCCTGCTATTTGTAGGACAATCGGCATGAATAGGAGTTGCAGATTTGTTTCCTGGCCCCAGGGAGCAGTGAGAGCAGTTAGGACACGCTTTCAGAGTCATTGCCTGTGCTGGCAGGTGTGAAATCGTACCATGCTGGCTCAACTAATAGGTATTATCTCCCAGAAGTTTCTACTTCTTGTGTCGCCTATAATTTGCAAGATATGGACTACTCAGATGTCCACACACACCCTATGTTGATAGGTGTAATATAACTTCTTTGTAAAGGCTGAGGATTTTTGGAAGGGGAGTTTCATACCCTCAGCCATGAAATCGGGAATGGAGAAGAAAACCTTCATTTATAATCATCAGCTTTAAAACTCAATAATAATTATTTGTATTTTCCGTGCATAATTAAAGGGCTAAACATTTCTAGAGTGAGGATTAGTCCCACTAATTCATATATCCTTTCAGACAGTAAGAAAAGAAGATAACTGATCTTGTCCCAGCAACAAAACCTGTTTAATGAAATTGGGGTGATTAATGACCATAACTTAGAAATTACTTTGGAATGGTGGCAGTGCAAACCCTCTCCCCTCACTCTGCAAGATGACTGATGAGAGAAAATCCTTCCTTGCTGTGCTCACTCTCAAAGACACAGGCAGATGACAAATGGAGGAGAGCACTATAAATCTCAGCAAAGTAATTGGTGTAGCTTTTTTAGCTGCTTGGTTTGCTATTGAGCAGAATCTGAAGTAGGATATGGTACATCAAAGCAAACAATAATTATTAAAAGTACCAGAAAGTGAAACAGAGAAAAGAGGTGTACACAGAGTTCATTGCTTATTCCTAGTCATGGTCAGCAAGCAGAATTCATTATACTCATAATGAAGCTTTAAACGTCTTTTGTAGGAGTCCATACACAAAATGGGATCAGGGATTTCCCTCATGTTTAATTAGCAATCTAAGGAGAGAGGACAACATTTGCAGCAGAAGCCAGTGGGCCGTAAAGGCCAGGCATGGTGGCAGTTATATTAGATCAGCTGAAGATGAGGAGGCTAAATTATGAAGGAGGATAAATTATGAAGGACTATAAAGGTAAAGGTAAAACCACATTTCATGCAGAGCTGCAAAGAGCCAGGACAAGGACTCTGGAAAAGGATGACAGAGCTAATTAACATTTTAGTGCATTTTATTTAGCGAATTACTTTAATGGCATTGTAAATCCCAGTTTAGATTTCTTCCTGAGTTTTTTATTTTTTTTTCCTCTTTGAGACCTCACCTGTTTTAAGTGATTAATAAGGCATTCTAGATGAAGATAACAAGGAAAACCTGATATCTTGAATTGGCAGAACTCATTCATTAGTCCTAGATAAGTCTTTTACAGGTGTTAACAAGAGAACCCTTTATTATCAACTACTGGTTTTCTTTTCCTCTCTGGTCTTCTTTACACAAAAGCAAAAATATCTTAAAAGCAATCCAGTGTCGCATATTTAACTAGATATGTAAATATTATCAGTTTAGCAATCGGTGTTGGTTTACAATGGGAGGGCTAACCTTTCTTCTTAAACATTAGACAAATAGTTTGTGTGAGAATGAGAGGAAAAAAATAGGATATCAGAAGTTTCCAAATCAGTGAATTTGAAAAGCTGGGTGAAACAAATCAGGAAGAGGGTGTGTTGACCCTGCTAGAGGCAAGAGAGAAGGCTGTAGATGTTGGCTGTGAAAAGCTCACTTGTTTCACAAGTTTCACACTTCAAATTTCTTCCTCTCACTTTAATGTAAACTGGAGAGGGCAGAAATAGGACTTAAAAAAAAAAAAAACCAACCCAAGATTTAGAAAACGAGCATTGATCATTTTGTTCATTCATTTGTAGTTTGTGTAACCTTCCTTTTCTTAAAATACAGCACCACTTCTGTATTTGCCAAGTAATTATTTTTAAAAAGCATTTACCTAGTTTTGGCTAGATGCAACTGAGATAAGGGTCAGAACAATTAGTTCTGTAGAACAAAATGAGAAACAGCTCTTAATATAAATATAATGCAACCAAATACTACACACGAAGTTGGATTAGTACAGCAATGACAACTATGGTTCCTGGAAGCTGCCAACTACTAGTTCACCACAGGAAAACAAAACTCACACAACAGTAAAAAGCATAATATTGATTGAGTGGCTAATGATCTTGAGTACTGACCATTATCTGCTGATGTCATATGGAGCATATCTGAGAGATGGGTTGCAAGAGTTCTCCAAAACTAGGGTGCTGCAATACCTCAAGCATCTTGTGTCTTCCTGTGCTCTAAGCAGCACTGCTGATTTCACACTGCATTAACAAATGTTTAAAGTCTAATAAGGACACTGAACATCCCAGGAATTGCAAAATAAAATTACAAATAAAATTTAAAAAAAAAAAAGGAAAAAAAAAGAAAGAAAAGATGGAGCTATGTTCTTCTAGTAGGGCGCAGTGAAAGGACTTGAGGCTACAGGCACAAATTGCAACACATGAAGTTTTACTTAACTATAATGAAAGAACTTCTTTTGGTCAAACGTGGGAATGAATAGGTCGCCCAGAGAGGCTGTGGAGTCACCATCCTTGGAGATATTCAAAGCCCAGCTGAACACAGCCCTTAGCAACCTGACTCTATTTTCAGCAGAGGTTTGGACTAGACCACCTCTAGAGATCCCTTGCAGCCTCAGCTCTTCTGTGATCCTGTAAAACTGAAAAGATCAATGTCTCTCATTCAAGGCCTGAGTTTAGTATCCTTTGGGGTAAATTGAAACAAAATGTGATTTTTTCAAACTATCCATGCATATCACCTGTGCAATGGTGGCAGTAACCTGTCCGCAGAACCTTCTGCTACTTACACTGATGTAACTCTTTGCCCTAAAACAAGTACCCAGCACATGCGAATTTCTGTAGTACCTGGTGCCAAGTATATGGAAAAATTAAAAGCTGAAGGAGGTTCAGAGAAATAAGAAATGTCTTAGAGAGCATGCATGTTTTCCTTCCTCTCCTTCCTTCTCCTTCATTTTTCTGTGCATGGTACTGGTGGCTCAGGTAAATGTAGATTTTTTTTATGGGACTGTACCAAAATGGAAAGGGGTGAACTGTCAGTAACCCATAGCTTTACAACTTGTCCAAGTGACTTCTGTACAGAACTACTACACTGTCTGAGCTGGCTTTGAAGTTGTCTTCTCTTTGAATCCTGAGGTTTTCCCTGCACACTGAGTTGCTGAAGAAAGGCAGATGCATGAGCCAGTTCAATCCAAAAGAAAGGAAGGCTGTGAGGATACTAGAAGCTGGGGTTGTCAAGAGAAAACACATGAGGTTTTGCTTTTTCAGCTAGGTGTGCTCAGGACCTGAAACTACCACCAGGAATTTTGCAGTGGTAGGAAAGGAGAGTGGAGATAAAACTACTGGTGAGTGTGAGTGTGAAAAGTTAAAAACAGGTTGCTGCGGACTGATGATGGACTACAGCTTCCTGCAGTAGATTTTAAGGAAAGAGGAAAACACCCCAAAACAGCTAAATCTGAGGCATCTAGAGCTTGTAGAGCTTGTAAAATATATTCTTTAAAACTTATTTGTTATGGATACTTAAAAGTATCTTTTATTTCCAATGGAAGGTCTAAAATTTTTTAAATTTTCCCCCTCACTTTTTAAACGTGTCTAGGAAACAAGCTGGAGCTCCAAGCATGGGGAGCAAAACAGGGTGCAGAGCAAAACAGGGCAAGAAGATAAGACATTATCAAGGGGGAAAATTTTGCTGCTATTTGGACAGGGGGCAAAGTTTTCTTTTAAATACCTTTTCACTGGGCAGCTTTCACATCTTTATTTTTCCTTGTTGCTGTTCTTATCAAGCAGTTAAGGAAAAACAATGTTAGTTAAGCAAACCTCATTCAGGATAAAGAGAACTGTATAATGAAGAAAACACAGCTGATGAAGAATATTTGTCTCATGTAACATTTTTCACTGAAAAATAATGAAATATGAATGTTGCAGCAAAACATTAAAACACTGGCTTTAAGCCAAAGTATGGGGGAAAAGCAGAAAACATTCTAAATAAGGTGGTTCTGATGCTTAAAAACTTAAAAGTGCCTTTTCTGTCCAAAATTACATAATTGTTTGCAGTAATAAAGAAAAACAAACAAAAAAAGACCAAATTAAAAAAAAAAAAAGCAAAACAACAAAAACCCCACACCACAAAAATGAAATGAGGTTGTGCAAGATTATTAAACTATCATCATTGACCTGAACCAAAAATTTTATCTTGATAAACAAGAGAGACTTGTGACTTTGTTCCTATATTTGATGAATACACTAACACCAAAATAAAACCTTCACCCTTCACCCCAAGGGCCCAATCCCACTTGCTCTGAAGGCAATGTCAGTTCTAGTGGGAATTCAAGAGCAGGACTGAGTGTACATCTAACATATAGGTGACAGTAATATTTTCTCTACGTAAGCTTACAATACAAAGTATAACTGAGTTGTGCATTTTTCTACCTCCCCAAAAAAAAAGGCAAAATAAAAAAGAACTCCATAATGACTCACTGTGTTTTTTATTACATTTAACTTTTATGGAGGGACTAGGGAGACTTCATTCTAATTTTCAAATCTTATTTTTAAAAGCTACAGAACTGTTTTTCCCACACTGTTACACGTGTCCTTCCAACTATAAACAGAGGGGCAGAATTTACATGTAAAGCCCTGGAAATCTCTCTTCAGGATCTAAAAACTGCCTTTCAGTTTATGAGAATTTTACAATGTACACTACAGCTTGTAATTTTGTTAAAATGGGAGTGCAATGTATGACTGGAGAGAAGGAATTCCCAGATCTCTACAAGTTATGTAAGGTTGTTGCTATTTCTAATACTTAATAGGAAAGTATTTCCTAATCTCATCACTAGGCCAAAGCTCAATATTGGTGTCTTGAGACTTGGGCTAGACTGACTTTGAGAACACTTGATGCTGAGGTAGAAGAAAGTGTTTCTTAGCAGGAATTTTTGATCAGTTATTATATCATGGCAATTTGGGATATGAGCAAACAAAGCAGTGGTGTAGTGAGAAGTGAAGGTAAAAATGGAATGTATACTTGCAGCAGCCTTGGAAATATTTATGAGGCAAATCTGTACTTGTAGTTAACCTAAAAAGGGAAGGAAAGGTGATGTAACAGCAGAAAAAAAAGAAGGAATGAGGAACAGGAGAGGATCTTGTCAAGAGTACCGAAGGGCTATGAGATAAGTTTTAAAATCCTCACCTTCAGTAGTACTTAATTTATTTTGTATAACTCAAGACTTCTTTGGTTTTGGGGTTTTTTTAGATGTACATACTTGTAGAGCTACCAGTACATTAACCTCTGACTGAAGACAGTATACAGTTCTTTTGAAAGACTTTTCCTCACTACCTGTAGAGAACATTTCACAATTACCGTGGCTGTGCATCTCCTACTAGGAAAGAACACTTTCACATCTGCTTTCTTTGCAAATACTGCTCCTGATTCGTAAGCACACAGGCCTGGCCCTTACAAAGCCAATAACCAAATGAATGCAAAAATACTAACGAGTGGTACTTTTCCCTTGGCACCTCTGCAGGCAGGAAAGTTCCTTGGCGGGGTGAGGAAGGGATGTCCTGCGGCGGTCGGCAGGAGGGGAAGTCAGCGGAGTGTGACTGGAGCAGGGAGCTGCTGCATTTGCAAAGCACGTACGGCTGTGCTGGGTGAGGGGTGAGGAGTTCGGGGACGGAGCGGCGCGTTAATAATTAAGGCAAATACCTACACCTGATATTTTAAATGAGGGGATCGCTTCACGTACTGGAATTTTGTGCGGTGACTGAACCGCAATGCATCGATTGCTTTCAACGCTGTTCTGGGTGACCGCGTTCACGCACTTGGCCGTGAGAGGGGGGCCAGGCTGCCCCCAGCACCGGGACCCGGCGGCCCGCCCGGCATGTCCGGGCGCATCCTGAGCCCAAGCGTGTAGGAAAGCAGTGGGGAACGAACCACCCTCCAAAGAAAAGGAATAAAAAAAAAAGAGAGAGAAAATTTCCTCCCTCAGGAAAGATTCCCGAGTGGCAGTGCCAGCTCAGCCGCACAGCTCCAAGGCGCGGGTCCCGCTCCGGGCTCAGCCGGCAGCGGCAGCGGGAGCGCGCCCGGCCCGTGTGCGCGCGGGGACTCCGCTCGCGGGGGGGCCCCGCCCGTTACCGGCCGCGCTCGGGGGCGCCCCCTGGCGGCCGCAGGGGCGGAGCGCGGGCCCCGCGCGGGCCGCGGGCGGAGCTCCCGCGCAGGGAGGGGGCGGAGCCGCCGCCAGCCCATTGGCTGCTCCGCGCCCCGGGGCGCGCCCCGCTCTCGCAACGCCCAGCGATTGGCCGGCGGCGGCCAAAGGAGGCGGGGCGCCGCGGCACGGCGCGCTCGCATTGGCTACTTTACTAGCCTGGGCGAGGCAGGCGCGGCGATTGGCTGCGCGGGCGGGGAGGGGGCGGGGCCCGGCCGCAGCGCCCTCCCGGGGCTGGGCCCGTGGCGGCGGAGATCTCGCGAGGGAGCGCGGGCGGGATTTGGCGGCGCTGCCTCCCTCCCTCCTCCCGCTGCCTGTCGCTGCCGCTCGGCGCTGGTGTTTGTGTGGAAGGGGGAGGAGGAGGAGAAGGAGGGCAGGCGAGAGGAGCCCGAGCCCCACCATCCGCCGAGGGGAGCGGACCGGAGCCTCCCCGCCGCCCGCGGAGCTCTCTCTGCGCCCCCTCGCCCCGCCATGGCCTCGGGAGACACCCTGTACATCGCCACGGACGGCTCGGAGATGCCGGCCGAGATCGTGGAGCTGCACGAGATCGAGGTGGAGACCATCCCGGTGGAGACCATCGAGACCACCGTGGTGGGCGGCGAGGAGGACGAGGAGGAGGAGGAGGAGGACGAGTGCTGCGAGGAGTGTGGCCCGCACCACCCGCCCCATCACTACCACCACCACCAGCCCATGATCGCGCTGCAGCCGCTGGTGTCGGACGGGGACCCCAGCGGGGCGGGCGGCGGCGCGGCCGGCGGCGGCGGGGGGCAGCTCCACCTGCACCACCACCACCAGGAGGTGATCCTGGTGCAGACCCGCGAGGAGGTGGTGGGGGGAGACGACTCGGACGGACTGCGGGCCGACGACGGGTTCGAGGACCAGATCCTCATCCCGGTGCCGGCCCCCGCCGGGGAGGACGAGTACATCGAGCAGACCCTGGTCACCGTGGCCGCCGCCGGCAGCAAGAGCGGAGGCGGCGGCTCCTCCTCGGCCGGCGGCGGAGGCCGTGTTAAGAAGGGCGGCAGCGGCAAGAAGAGCAGCAAGAAGAGTTACCTGAGCGGGGGAGGCGGCGGCGGGGCCGAGGGCGGCGGCGGCAGGAAATGGGAGCAGAAGCAGGTGCAGATCAAGACCCTGGAGGGGGAGTTCTCGGTTACCATGTGGGCCTCGGGTAAGTGCGCGCCGGGACCCCTCCCTCCCCGGGCCGCGGGCCCCGCCGGCGGCCGCGCGTCGCGGCCGGGACGGTTTTGTTTTGAAGGGAGGCCATGTTTTGGTGTGTGCGATGGGCGCCGCCATGTTCATCGCCAGGGCAAGTATGGCGGCTCCCCGAAAAGATGGCGGGGTCTGCGCTGCCGCCGCCGCTCGGCCCGGCCGCGCCGGGGGGAAGGAGGCAAACATGGCGGCGGCCGCCAAGATGGCGGCGGCGGGGGGTGCGCGGGCGGGCGGGCGGCAGCGCCGCCGGCTCCCGGGCCAGGCCGCAATGGCGTAGTTTCTGCAGCAGGGGGAGGCGGGGTGCGGGGCGAACCTCCCCGCGCTCCCCCCGTCCCCGCCCCGCCGCCGCTCCCCGCGGGGCCCGCTCCGCGCCTGCCCCTCGCCCGCCCTCCCCTCCTCCGGCCGCTGCCGCCGCCGCCCTCTGTCCTCCTTCTCTCCCCACCGCGTTCCCCGGCCCGCCGCCCCTGCCCGGCTCCTCTCCCTACCGCCCCGCTTCTCTCCCTGCCGCCCCGCGGCCCTGAGCGAGGCGTATGCGCCGGGCCGAGACCGCAATGTGCGGGCACAGACCCGCCCGCACCGGCCCCGCGGCTGCCCCGGCGCGGGGCGGCGAACCCCGAAATACCGTGCACGGCTCGCCCGGGGGCCGCCCGGCCCCGGCCCGCTGCGGTGGGTGGGGCGTCCCCGCCCGGAGCCGGCGGTGCCGGCGAGGGGAAGCGGCTTCTCGCCCCCGCGGGGCTGCCCGCGCCTCCCGCCGGCTCGGAGGGGGCGGCCGCGAAGCACCGGAGTCCGCGGGGAGCCGGGGGTGACAGCCGGCAGGGGCGGCCCCGGGGCTGACCTCCGTCCCTGCGAACCGCGGGCAGGAAAGGGGCGATTCCTGCTTGGCGCTCGCGAACCGTCCAGCTTTTCCCTCGCCTAGGTCTGAAGCTTTAAACAGGCTTTTTAAATAAGCGCAGAGAGTCCGTGTCGTGTGAGATTGTGGGTTTTTTGAGTAGGGTTTTTCTTTTTTTTCTTTTTGTGGGAGTGTCCTTTAAAGGGAATAAAATCTCATTGAAGGGGTTTTAGTATCTGTGGGACTTGGAGTAAACCTGACTTGGCACCTACCCTGCCCACTTAATTTTATTTTATTTTATTTTTTATTTTTTCAAAAATGTATGGCTGGCAGCAAGGCTCTGTCATCAACAGTTCTGTCCTTAAGTTATGTAAATGCGGCAAAAAAGCGGTCAAATGGTATGAGTTCATGTAACGTTTAAATTAGTGCGTTCTTTTTGAATGGGTAATCTGTCTTGCATATCATAATTTTTGTGCTCTTTTGGATTTTTAAAAGTGTTTAGTGATGTCTAAAATGTTTGCACTCTGATGTTTGTGAATGACCAGTTGTTGTTAGAAAGGCAAGCATAGAAGAGAAGGTATATTGGATGACTGAATTCTCCTGCCTGAAAAGGTGGCAAGGATGGTGGTTCAGATTTTTGCTCTCTTTTTAAAGACAGGTGATTACTTTAGCAAGTTTGACAGAGTGTCTGACACTACTGAGATGTAGTCAGTTAGGTAGCCTGGTCAGCTTAATCAAAGTTCTTTGCTTCCTGATGAACAGAAAAGAACATATAAGAGTTTCCCAACTAATGTTTAGTAGGATGGTGTTTTGTATGCTTCTGTGTCACTGTGTGAAAACTGAATAAATTCCCTTGCTGGTATTTTTCTTAGAACTGACCATCCAAGAAAGATAAAAGATAATAGAAATTAATATAGTCTTCTGGCTTGTGGAAGCTGCCTGAGGTAGCTGAATGCAAGTGGCTGTATGACTCATGAGCTGGCAGGATACAGGACCTCGCTGAGATCAATTGACGATTTCTAGCATGCATTTGCACTCGGAAATTCAGAGTGCCTGATGGGATGCTTCCTTAGAGCTTCTGCATGCTGATTATTACTTGGCTGAAGTGAAGCATGTGTATAATCAATAAACTTGCTTCTCTTCCCATGTACACAGCTTTTGCATCAGGGGTAGCCCTATTGATTTCGGTGGTTTTGTTCTTTATGAGCATGACCATGCAAGCTCAGTGGGAATGATATCCACTTATAATTTACTGGAGATTGAATTGCATTGCTATATCTAACTCAATTATATCCATGGTGCAGAAGAACGAAGACCTAGTCAGATTTCACTTCTAATGCCAATAAAGCCCCTTCAAAAGTAAAATCAAATATGTGGGCGAAAGAAAAGTCTTAGAGTTTGACCTCCCCTCCTCTGTGCGTGCATGCACACACCCCCAGCTTCAAACAGCCTGATCAGTTGAGATCTTGTAAAGTTTTACTGAACATATTGGACAGGCTCTTACGCTTCATATGTAACTTATTTAATGTTACAGAAGTGGCCTGAAGTGGTTAAATGTTGGGGCTTTATCTTTTTTTATCTGAAACATCAGGGAGCAAATCGTTACCAGAAAAATCGCCAAGGAAACGGTACTTGAGACAGGGACACACGCAAACCCAAACCCCCAAAAAACCCAACCTGAGTACCCACACAAAAACCCTAGCCTAAATTAACACCAAAAAAACCCAGAACCACTGACTTGCAAAAGGGTAGTAGTACTAAAGTTTCCCTGCAGAATCAGGCATACTTTATTTTGAAGAAAGATAGCAGTGTTGCATCTGTATTTACCATAATTAGAGACTTGCTTGCACACTGATGTAATGGACTGGTTTAAATGCTTAGCAAAAAGTTCATCAAAAGACGAACAGTAAATAAGGCCATGCATTAAGATACAACAATGAGCCCTATATTGCTGTGCATGGGTTTTTGAATCAGGAACAAGGGCACTTTGCTCACCACAGTGTGGGAAGACAATGTGAATTAATTTCTTGTTACTGTTTGCTGGTGCTACTATATTAGCTTGTACATGGGTGGTACCAAATTTAGCCAATCATAAATCTTTGTCCAGAAATGGAGTATAGCATGTCTTGTAACACCTTTTGAAATGTGTAGAAATAATCTGTGAAATATATAGCAATGTGACTAAAGGGGACTACTTAGTCCTCATCTTGTTATGTGCTTATTTAGAAATTGCAGTACTGTTGTTGGCAACGATTTAGACTTACCATAACTTCTCTTATCACCTTGGTATCTATGGTGATATCAAACTTGTGACCCATAATTAAAGTGTTTAGTTTGAAACAGGAATGCTTTGTTCTAGTTCAGATCAGCTTTTCAGTTCTTCAGAACAGAATTATTTGTTTTTCTTCATGTGTGAAAATAAGAAGTGAACAAAGGTGCTATATTTCTGAAAGGGTTGAAGAAGTGTATCTGGTGGATACTTCAATCATGTTCTTGTAGCATGTTTATACTGTCTTAATATTTATCAGAAAACTGTATTTAGTTAATGGTGCTCTCTGAGAGAGGCACCCCAATTTGTGCTAGAAAATTTGTTTTTTGTCGAGTGGAATTTATTTATGCCATTGCTGGATTCAACTTGAATCATTGTCTCTAGTGACTTTCTCCAGGTTGGGTGCACAATAGCGGGAGGGGGGGAGGATCATGAGAAATCACTTTGTTAGATGGTGCTTGCAAAACTGATTGTTAAATGCAGGAGCCTTTGGGAAGGTGGTGCTTAAATACTGGCTGCGTCAAATACTGGAATTTCAAGCAGTTGGGACTTAAGTGTGAGTGGAGAAAAAGTATTAGTGTAACTACATCTGGTTCTAGGTAATGACTCTGTCAGGCTTTCAGGCCTGAAATAGGTGTTGGCTTAAACCATTATTGTTAGCATAGTCTGCAAGTTAAGGGCTGAAATACCCTGAAACAACCAAACACTGTCCACAGATGTTAAACTGCTCAAGTATCCTATCCCTAGGTGGGAAGCACAAAGATGCAGAAGTTACTTGCATGGTTTGAAAATTATTTTTGATCATCTGGGAAGCCTGTGCTGTGGACCCATATTTGGAAACTTGGGGAGTTCATGTTGGATTTCTAGAAAGTTCTTCAAAACCTCTTAAAAAACTCAATGTCTCAAAAAATATAGGAGGGTTTTCATGTTACTTCATCAGATGGCAGGGGTGAGAAAAATAACCATCTGCTGTCTGACCAGTTGTCTTCTATAGTATAAATGATAGATGAGTCACTTAGTTCAGTCGTGGGCCTGTATCAAGGATGGCCAAAATGCTTTGCGATGACAGATAGGTAATGAGATTCTTATATGAAAGTTTTTCATAATGGAGGCAGAAAGTATTAGTTCCTTTAAAATATTAAGATGACAATCATATTTCTCAATCTGATTATGATACAGGCTTCTGGTATCTGTAAGTACTGAGTCTGCCCTGACGTTTTTTTCCAGTGATAAGATGGACATTTTCCTGTGTCTATTTTAAATATATTTTCAGTTTTGAAAGTGAAATACATGGATATGGTTCACCATCTAAAATAACTCAATTAATATGCCTCTTAGCCCACCTTTCAAACTGGAATCCTCTAGCTTGCTACTGGATCCTTCCTTGGGACGCTTGAGTCACTCATATGCTGACCATTCAGAAGGTCATAGTGCTTCGGCACGGTGTCTCATAAATGCTGAAGTCAGATGATGACTATTGATATATGCACTGTTTTTGTCAGTTCGTGTCTCAGTGGTGTGAAATAAGAGATGGGTGACAGGGGGAAAGAAGAACCTGTTCTCCATCTGTGTGCAAGGCACGTCAGAGGGAAAGTAACCTAGCAGCCAATTAGGTTAAAAAATGACATACTGTGCAAAATAGAATTTTAACATTCAGAAGTGCCTGCTAAATAACTGTATTATTTAACAAGCTAATTACAGTTCTTTGCCTCCAAACATGACCAATGAACTAATTTGCCTGGGGAGATTGCAGTGTGGTAGCAATAACCAAGCTGTTACGACAGTGCCTTGGTACTGCTCAGTTGCTGAATACATCCTTTGTCACGTAATTGCTTCTCAGCTGTTCCTAAAAGCAAATGTGTTTAACCATGTGATCATAAAAAGAAAATTTAAGCTTAAATGTTGTTCATCCCTTTTGCTAGTAAGTAGAATGTCTTTTAACTTGGTACCTTGAGGAGGAAGCTATAAGATCAGGTCTCATTGCTTTGCTGCCAGGTGTATCTCCTGAGTTCCCTTTGGCACCCTGTTTTCCACAGGGGAAAACTGATTGAATAACAGTGCTTTCTCTCTGCTTGGTAATAGAGCAGGATTACCAAGCAGGCTCAGGATTTGGGGATCTCAAAGTGGAGTACGATGGCTAAAATCGAGACTAACTGAAGCAAAAATACTGACAGAGCTCCTTGGGTTGAGAGTTAAGAGCATCATCTTAGAAAGCTGGGGAGTTCCAGAGATGTCAGCTGGAGCCAGCTGTTAGTCTAGAGATGTATGAAATAATGGGGTTCTGAGGTGGGTGGATTTTCTGTGCAAGAGAAGGGCTGCAAGAGATGGAGAAAGTGTGGTAATAAGAGGCAAAGCATGATCAATAAAGTCTTTGGAAACAGATTCTACCATGTTTTGTCATTGATCTGTTATGCGGAATCTGCAGTTAGTAGTTTTATCTTGGTAATCTTGCTTCTTCCTACTTCATTTGGTACTTTTAGTTCTCTTAAAACCTCTGACTGATTCACCAGTACTCAGAAGACATGGCTTGCTAAAACAGTGAACTTTCACTGATCTTAGTAAAAAAATGTTTGAAATAGTGGCTTTGAAGGGCCTAAGTGGATCTGGTTCAACATGTGTACTGCCTGTATATACGGCATGAGAGAAGTGCAGGTGGAAGGATGCTGAACATGAAGATGTGTTTGGGTATGTGCTCTAAAGAGGGGCATAGTCTAAATCCAGTTTAGACTAAGTACCTATCTTAATGTAATTTGGTGTAGAAGGATGTAGGGGAGTATCTGTGGTGTCTCTAACAAACCAGTATTTTACAGCTTTATGAGATAGATGAATATTGGACATAGCTATTGTAGTGACTGGTAGAGAATATTTCTGTGAAGATGGTGAAGTTGACGTGTGTTCAGATCCTCTCCGTCTTTCAGAAGAGGGGAATTAAAATTGTGTTCTGAGTTCATAACAGCAAGCTGCATTAGATCTATAAGAATAGTGCTAGATATGCACTTAAGCAGAATGCCTTATGTTTCAGTCTGCTATACTCTCAAGTGGTTTTAAGGGCAAAACAGTGGATCAGATAGTACCTAGCAGTTAATTTCCTTTTCCTGACTGGCTCCATGGCTCTGTCCATATTTAGCTTGCATGGTTGGCATCCAGATTAGGTTGGTTTGGGCATAAACTGCATGGAGTTTTACTATGCCTTATTTGTACTGTACTTATCCAGAGGTGTCACTGTAATGTCAGGTTTGTGTCTGTGTTTTGCCGTGCTTTGGATGCAGTATGTTTGATTCTCCAGTGCTTCATGAGAGGAAAAGCGGGAAGTAATTTGCCTGTGGTGAGCATCAGGACTTGCTTGAAGGCAGAAAACATCAGTCAACTTACCCAGTTTGCAGTGAGAATTATTGGTTAACTTGTCAGCCTGAGTGAGAGTTTGCTTGCACTTTACCCTCCAGACTTTGAGCTACCTAGTCCAGGTTGGTAGGGCATCACAAATAAAGTGAATTTGTGCATAGAGAACATTCGTAAAGTTTTTTCCATTTCCAAACTTTCTCCAAAGAAGTGTGTATGGGGTTTTTGTGTGTTGTTTTTGGTTTGTTTTCCGAATGAGTTGATAATGGCTTAGTATGGTCTGTAACTAAGATGGTCAGAATACTAAAGAGCTGTTGAAGCCTCTTGCTACTTTTTCCGAAGTATTAACTTGACCTAAGACTTCAAGGTAAATGTTCTGTATTTTTTGCTTTGGTTTAAATTCGGTTTTAGAAGTGGAGATGTGTGCTGCTGTAGAGATGCAGTTTTTTGGTATAGGAAGGCGTGCTTGTTTTTTCACATAACTGTCAATATACTAACCAACAGTTGCTCTTATTTTCTACTCTATCAAAGCAATATGTTCATAGTTTTTTATGTTTTGCTTCAGTAGTCTGTGGAATTAAATAGCTGTGGAATTGATTTCTGTTGGCAGGCATTTGGGAAGTAAAGGCACTGAAGGCAGACTTTCAGTTTGGTCCTCAAATAGCAAGAAAGCATTGTGTAATAGTGAGCCTTTACAGTTGGGAAGGAAAGAAGATCTTTAGGGATGTGTACAAGATTTCCCTGTTGACTCATGCATCTGATCTGAGGCAGGAAATGAAAACTTGTCTATGTTATGAATGTCATCAAACAGTCAAACTGCAAGTTCTGGGTAACTGTTGAAATGGCTACATTGAAGGCAGCTGATCTCATCCTAGTCTACAGCATGGAGAAGGCATCGCTTTTAGCTTTGCAGAAATTCTGTGCCCTTCTGGGCTCCATGTCTTTTTCTGCCTGTGTAGGCATTGCTAAATATCTTTTTTTCAAGTTTCTATTTGGAAGAACAAAATGTTACCAAATAGAAGGTTTTTTAACTTGAATTTGTAACTCCTTCAGGTGCTGTAAAATTTAACATATAATCCTCTCTTCAAGTAATATCAGTTGCTTTCTTTAAAGCACTGGAAGAAGCTGAAACTGTGTGATGAGCGGAAAACTAGATGAGAATAAAAAAGATCTAAATAGTCAATTTTGTGGTTTATTTTGAATTTAATGCTGCAGATAGTATTTTCTTATTTACACTTCAGTCTTTGCAGCATTGGAGTCTGTTTTCCTCTTTCGCTATGGAATATACATGAACTGCTATTTGATCTGGTATATCAGATTAAACCCAAACTAGCAGTAACATTTCTAGAAATAGCTTGGTGGCAAACATTAAAAGCAGACATTACTAATTGAATACAAATTTGTGCTTAGTGTATGTCCTTTATTTGCATATATGTTGTCCTCTCTCTCCTAGCCTAAGTTAGTGAGTAATGACTAATGTTATTTCCTGTGTTTCTGTTTAGGGGAAAGGAACGCAAAACCTTTCCTCTTTTGTTTTCTGCCTTATGTTTTCCTATCTCTTTTTAATTGGTGAAATACTATTTCTGTCCTACCACCTTGTGTTTTCATTGCTTAAACACTACCTCTAAAATAAAACTTCCTGTTATTTTTGTAAAACTTCTTGTGTATAAAGTAATTTCCAGAATCTGCCCCCCATACACATAGTAGGAGAAGTACTGTGTTATCAAGTTTATTACACTGAGCTGAGTAGTTACAACCATATATATATATATCTTGTGTTAGGTGTATTTGAGGGTGGAAAACAGGATAGGTGCTGTGCCTGTCTTTTTCTGGTGTGACACTGCAGTGAGGAACATAGATGGATGTTTTTGTTCTCTGTAATTTTTGTGTATTTTGGTTTCTGTTAGAAATAGGAGAGAGAAAAGATTGTGCCTTTTATGTTCTAAGGTCTAAATGTGAGTAGACAGCAACAGCAGGTCTTCCACCTGATTTCACTGTAGTCCTTGAGCACAAATTCGTAGGAGGAGTTCTAGAGCAGTACCTTAACTGGCTTATAGATCAAAGCTCTGAATAATTCCAACCTGCTGTTTGCATAGTAGAGTGGGAAGGAACTTAGCCTGGCCTTTGACACAGAAGGAGGAAGCCCCTTTGGGAGGGAGATGCAGGATTAAGTTTGTTTTCTTTCAGACCTGTCTGCAGGTGTTTAAAAACCCTAATTTTACAGGCAGGTTCTGAAGTACATTAGCAGTTACTTTTAAATTTCTTGTCCCTCTGTGACACTTCTGTTGGAGGTCTAGGGAGTCTGAAGACTTGAAGTAAAGATCAGTAGTCCTGACATCATAGGGTAAGTGTCTGCCACTTCTCTGATAGACTTCCAAAGTATGGACTGCTGTTGAGTACTAAAGAGGGTATGGTGAAGATTAGTCTTGAAGAGTTTAGGGGAATTGAATATTTAGGCATTGTTTCAGGAAAAGTACATTATCTTTCAAATGCGACCAATATTTATAGGATTGTTCTACTTATTTCTGTATTTGTATACAAGTAGATATGCAATTTTTGGTTTTTCTCCTCACTCACTGTACTCTTCCTGTGTTCTTCATGCTGTAACTGTCTTTTTGTTCTTCCCAGTTAGGGTGGTGATCTGGAAGTGCCATGTATTCTTTTAAATGTGCAGCATTAGTGAATTTAAATTGAGATGCAGCCTAATAACTTATATGCTGTTTTGATCCTTAGTAAGTACTGAATTCAGTATTTTGTGTATTTCAGATGATAAAAAAGATATTGACCATGAAACAGTGGTGGAAGAGCAGATTATTGGAGAGAATTCTCCTCCAGATTACTCAGAGTACATGACAGGGAAGAAACTTCCTCCTGGTGGAATACCTGGCATTGACCTCTCGGACCCCAAGCAACTGGCTGAATTTGCTAGGTAAGTAGGAAGAAAGGAACTTTAAACTAAAATGGTTTTCTTTTCACTGGTGTAATTATGAAACTGTTAGGCAGAACTGTAGATTTAGTATGGCTTATTGTTCCATTTAATTGTCTTCCAAAACAAGGGATTTAGCATCAGCTGCTCTCTTCTGAACTAAAGTGGGGTTTATATTCACTTCTTCAATGACTTCTGGTCTTTAGTTCTGTTGGGTAAGACAGGACCTAAATACATCAATAGACTCACTCTAAGTGAGCCTTCCTTGGCACGGGGGTTAGACTAGATGATCTACAGAAGTCCCTTCTAACCCTATCAATTCCGTGATTTTACATGACAGAATATTTCTTTCATGTGAGTAGCCTTAAATTCCTGAGCACCAAAGGATCCGATAAGTGAGATGCTATGTTCAGGTAATTCAGCACTAAGAAGCTAGACTATAGTATTTAGTTTGTAAAGCCACTTACTGTCTTTTTTCACCTGCTTCTTAAGTTCGAGGTCTTTAACAACTTCATGGAGTCTCGGTGTCCTGCACTTTCAAGTGCCACCGATAATTACAGTCGCAATTGGTAACTGTACTGCTTGGGTTTTCCTGTAGTAAGTCAGAATTGTCCCTCGTTTACATATCAATACCTTGACGTGAGTGAGAAGGTGACTGACTGTCGAATGGAGGTGGAGTGACTTGTTCCGGGTGTACCGGAGGTGTCCTCTGCAGGGCCCTGGCCCTGGTACCGGGTGCTCGGGGCCGCCCGTGGCCACCAGAGGGCAACCGCGAGGCGGGCGGCGGAGCCGCTCCGGCCCCTGAGGTGCCGCACCGGGGTTGCCCTTGAAGTGCCCGCTTGTTCGGCTGCTGCTCTGCTCGGTGCAGGGCAGCGTTACTGCTGTGTCTGCGCTTACCGGAGCCATAGCTTCCTCTAGCTCCTGCTACCAGTTTTACCCATGCTGAAAGCAAAATGTGCGTGTAAAGCCACACTCATTTTCATTTTTTTAGCAGCTGGCTGTGCTTCTGGTGCACAGTTCTGGCACTTAGAGCCTAGTACAGAAGTGTGCCTTTTTCCAGGTAGTTGCTAAATGGCAGGGACTTTTGATACAAGGTCCGGTCTGGCTTCATGGATTTTGGTGTTCAGTGTATGCATCTATTCCTGTTTCACCTTTTTAATCCTGCTGCTTTTTTACAAGTTTTTTCCTGTTACTCTGTAATGTGTTTGTGCCAGATGATTGACAGCACAGCCTTATCCCACAGTTATTTTCAGTACAACCACTGAACTATGAATTTTGAAGGCTAGTAAAATAGTTGTGCAGGTCTTGATCTGTGTTTCAGGCTATCTGATCTGAAAATGCATAAAAGCACATTATAAACAACTGAAAACAGAGTTCTGTCTATAGTGATGGGTGGTTCTAACTATTGATACTACTCTTTCTTGTTTTACTGTTGTTTATCAAAGTTAATGTGTTTTTCTCTACAAGCTGATGAAAAGTTCATTCTATTTTTTGTGAAAGCAAATGTTTAAGTGATACTCTTGAGTATATGTAGTGTTCTAATTCTAAAACTTTACTTATTTCTACTCACTATATGTTATTTTAAAACACGCTGAAACTTTTGGTTCTGTTAAACACTGAACCACTGAATAGCTGTCTTTTGTTAGGAAGTGGAAATAGTTTCTCACAGGCTATTCTCCATGTAAATACTGAATACTTTTTTCTCCAGATTGGTTTGAATACTTGAAATGGTTGCCAGGATTTGGGCTTCATGAGATGACCAGACTACTTCTATAAGATCTGTTGGCATATTTCTGAATACTGTAAAATGTTTTAGTTAGTTTTCTGTAGAGAAAATAGTGGCTGCTGTCAGTATTTTGAAATTATCACTTTTTTTTTATATTCATGGTAGAATGTTCTAGGAATTTCCAGAGCTAGAATTTATAGCAGATGATGGAAGGATTGAGGTCTATGTGTAGATAGTACTGTTAATCTATTTCTATGCAGCAACTAAATTTTAATCCACTTCAGTCAGAAGAGAAGTATATGATGATAGAATAAGAAACTTGGGGGGATATATCCTTTAACAGTATCCCCAAGTTGCTCAAAACCTAGGAAAAATTGTTCGGAGAACTTAATTTTACATACATGAATATTTAATGCATCTTCTGTTTTAAGAAAAGTTTTTTGACTTGTTGGTCAGAATTGATGACTGTCAAATTTTCACCCTTGCCTTAAAAAAGATTAAGAAGAAAATGGTTATGTTTTAAATGATTGCGTTTCTGAGACTAAAGAATATGGATGTATTAGAATTTGAATATTGTTTGAAGCTAATAAGATGAATTCAAGCACTCCTATCTCCAAACCACTGTTCAGTTGTCGTTTTGATCTTGCTGTGTGCAGTATCACTAGAAACATTGCATGCCAAGGTGGAAGTAAAAATTGAGTTTATGTGTCTGGGTTTGGAGGTTTTTTCACACTAAAAGAATATGTTTAGTGTAAAGTTCTCTGAAATTGTCAAGCATTGCTGGTTGTTTTAGAGTTCAGAATGTCAAAATTCGTAGTAGCTGTATTCTGAAAACCTTGAGCAGCACACGAAGTAGAAACTTGTAAACCTGTTAAGTAGCTTCATATGCTTGAGTAAAGTTTTGAATGAAAACCTTGTATTTTGATTACTTGCAAAAAGAATTTTGACAGTCCTCATAAAAGGAAGTGTGAACTGGCTAGTAAAATTGCATGCTAAGTGTGTTTTGTGTGGTGAGAGAAAGTTATTTTGGGTTGCTTTCCTGTTTTCATTAAGGTAGTTTAAAGAATCTCACCATACATTTGTAGAAATTAGCTACTGAAAACCAGGCTAGGTTCACTGTTTATAATGGTGCACTTTATTTTTATTAAGGATAAATTGACTCGAGACATTTGCATCGATTATTAGGAACAAATTTCTGAGGTTAAACTTAAACTAAGCTTGAATTCTAGTGGTAGTAGATTTTGGGCAAGATTCTTGTGTTATGATCATGATCTAGTTAGTGAAAGGTAATGCAGGAATTGACTTGATGCTTGAAGTTGTCTGTAGCTTTGCAGCCCTTCAGAAAAATAATTTGGAACTGTAGTAATTGAGCATCTGCAGTGGCCATCAGTGCTCAGAGCTCGGTGGGACTCCAGAGTGAGCTGTTGACTGTCTGTTGTGATACAATTGTCTTTCACCACCTGGTTTAGTGCATTTACCATTGAGTCACATAGCAGGAATCTGGATCCTTTAATTGGAACTCTTATGGTTCTTCCTGGAAAAGCTTTTATGCAATCTATGATTCCATTGGAAACACTGTGAATAAACAAGCTGTGTCAGAACATTAAGATGTGTTCAGTAACACACAGATGAATGACCATAAGTTATACCTTGTTGGGCAGTTTATCACCTTTTATAGATTATTTCATTCTGGTTTAGGAGTCATGAATTTTCTCTAACATGCTTTAAAAATGCAGTTTAAAAAAAAGGTGGATTTCTCTTAGACAATCATATCAGAATGTGAAATGTTAATTGTGAATGATGTGCTCAGAAAGACATAAAACCTAATAGTTACCATATTTTCATTTCATACCTTTGACTGGGACAGTGTAAATTCTTTCAAGTGGAATAAAATGTTTCATCCCAGTCTAAATTCATTACAGTAATTCAGGAGTTAGCTGTGAAGAAATCATAACTGCTTGATGTTAAAAGCTTGGGAGGGTAGCAGGGATATTTCTAGTGGGGGCATGTGGCAAATTCCCTCCCAAGCAAATCACTAAAAAGGGTATCCCTGATTGCCTCCTCCCTCTGTCTTGTTCTCCAGACAGATCCATGACTGAACTGCCTATAGACAGCGGGAAACAGACATCAGTAAAACTAAGAAATAAGGAAATATTCTATAGCTGGGGAATTGGCACAGTAGTGGGTCTTGGGGGTAAAACTTTACTCTCCATGGTTTTATCTTCTGCTGCTCTTGGTATCTTTTCTGAACGAGAGCCATTGTGAGGACTGCCCTTCCTTTCTGTCCACTTTCCAAACAGTTAGAAAGCAAAGGAGAGGAAACAGCATTAGCGTTTGAAATCGGACACCCTTCTTAAAAGTGACAAAGCATTCTGGTCACCCAGATTTATGACTTAGGCCTCTTTATAAGATGTATACTTTTGTATTGGTTTTGTTCTTGTTGCAGAGAAGCTTAAAGGGCAGTAAAGTGACAATTGCTTTACCCAAAGTGCTCTTCTAGGGGAGGGGAAATCTTCTGCTCTGTACCACACTGCGAAGGTCACTCTCCCTGTTTACACATACGATATCCTTCATAACTGCAGCAAACCTAGTACTTATTTTTACCAGAACTTTTAATGAAGTTTTTCTACCTAACTGTGACCAAAGCGCAGTTAAGACACTGGCCGTGGGGTTTTGGGTTGCATATAGATTGCTGGGACATCTTGTGCCACTCCCCTTTTATCTGTTTATCCAAAAGCCAGTCTATCCAGTTTCAGGAGTTCTTCAGCACAAGTGAACTCTTGCCTTAACACAGGGCCATGACGCTCGTGTTAGTTCTGCTCAGCAGGGCAGCACAAAGAGAATGGCACAAGGAGGGAGCAGATCAGCAGTGACAGTAACACTGCTGAGAGAGAATAATTTCCTCCATATCTGACTGTTGTTCTTAGGGGTTTGGTCATCAGCACAGGTGAATATCACTGCTTGTCGTCAGAGACCTCTAGGTTGTGTCAGAGGAGTTGCCTGAGAGAGTGTAATGCTTTTTAGGTTAGATTTATGTATAGAGGGAGAGGAAAAGGTGTGAGAACACAGAGCTGTTAACAGTGGCAAAAAGATTTCGGAACAACGGGGAAACCATAGAATTAACTGCGTTGGAAAAGACCTTTGAGATCATCAAGTCCAGCCCTTGATCCAACCCCATCCAAATTCTATACTGTTATTTATTTTTTGAATTATATTTACTTTATTCCTAGCCTTAACACTGTTCCTGTGGCTGCCTTTTAAAATTGGAGCTATGGACAAGCATATAGGTTGTGGAGATTGACAGGGGTGGGGATTGGTTCTGTCAGGGTACAGTACTTTCAGTTCAGATGTGTAGATGAAAGGAGGTGATTAGATGTAACTTTCACATACTGCACAGTGACAGTGTTGTCTTCTTTATTTTGAGAAACTAAGTTGTGATTTCACTCAGTCTTCCTTATGCACGGATAGGAGTGTTTGCTTTTATGGAGCTTGTTCTGTAAAGCTGTTGGGATGCACACCTTCCTTCTCCCTCTGCTGTCACCCATTCCTTCCCTCCACCCAGTACAAGTTAAGACTTAGCCTTTAATTGCAGTGTCCCAGTGCCTTGATCCAAAAGGTGTACACTTCCTGATTTTCACAGTTAGCTGCTACTAGACATGGCCCATGTAAATTCATTGCAGAAATGAAAATTTTGGTCTTACCATGTAAATCGACTTTTTTGCAAAGGAAACTGTTTCAGAAGTTCCTCCCCAATATTAATATGTGTGTCTGTAGTTGTGTTAAATAGTGATATTTGTTAGAGTTCTGTTTTTGATTAATGTTTCAGTCTAAGAAAACTTGGATGGAGCTGGTAGAGATGCTTTACTGGGTGGGAGCCAAAAGTCTCACTGCCACCAGCAAGAGCTACCTGCAACTGTGTAATTAAGATCAACAGCCCAGATTCTAGTCTGGTCTCCTTTTGCAGAAAGTTAATTTTAAAGTAAGACCAAAATCTTTTTTTCTAATGCATTTGAGTTCTTTGAGGGATTGTCCATGTGGATTCTGCAGCCCTGTGAGCAAGATGACATTTCTGACACAATGATCTATCATAACTGTGCCTATGGTGTACGTGCCCTCATGCCTTTAATCCAAGTCTGTAAAGGGCCCAGCAGTTTCTTGCTGCCTGTGGCACTGAGATGCAGCCTGGACACCGTTTGCCACCTCTTCCTGTCAAAGTGTGTGCTTCTGTTTTGCTGATTACCTTGGTTGTCTATGGAACCCTGTGCATATGCACAGTCTTGTTCCACATTTTAGGCTTAAGTTGCCCACTCACCATGCTTCCATGAAAAATGAGAGGATTTAAAATCTGCTCATTTATTAGCTAGAGCTTTTTTGTCATTTTCAAGTATACTGGCTGGACTGATAATCCTGAGTTTAGAAACAAAGGTTGAAAATTAAAAAGTCAGCTTATGGACGTTCATAATGTTATGTACCTGCTCAGACACCAAACTGAAAAATGTAAGGTGTATGTTGATGCTCCAGTCTGTCCCATGTCTGACCATCCAGTTCACCTGCAGTTGGTTCTTCAGGCTCCCTGACTACACTGGCCCAGGGTGTTTTCCTTCTCGCTCTACCTCAGCAGTCTGTTAGAGATATGACACTGTTGCAGCATTTCTTTCTCAAAGATTGACTTAATACCGAAGGCAAAACGCAAGAGTCAGGCGTAGGATTTAACACAGTGATCAGTGGGCTCTTAGGCAAAGTGTAAAAATACAGGTGCTGCCCACTAAAGCTATTTGTCACATCTCCTTGTTAGCAGTCCTGTTTTGGTCTAGGTGCTCCCTTTACAGGTGGTCAATTAAGACTTCAGAACAATAGTGGTTTTACTCATTCTGATCAGTCATGAGCATTGACCTTGGGTTTAGGAGTATTTTGCTTTGGTTTTTGAGGCAGGGGAAGACTCTAGACAACATTTAACAAGTTGATAGAAGGAGATGGTTTTGGCACCAACTTTGTCTCCTAAGGGTGTTTGTTCTCTAATCATAACACTTTCTCTCATGTCCCATCTTGTCAGATTATTCTGCTGTGTGACCGTTTTGACATTACAGATGCTCATTTCTGTGTCTTTTCCTGTTTTTAGAAGTCACAGAGATGTAACAATCCCGTGCAAAGGGTAGTTGAAGCTTTCTGTAGGGGTACTGTAAAGAAAGTTTTTGTATGTGTTTCCCTATAGTCTCAGTACCTGCAGTACTATGAGTGTGGAACCTCACTGGAGAGTGTAGTCAGTCAGTTAATCCCAATCACTTGTTTGGAGTTAGGTATTTTAATACTTTACTCAGGGGAGACTGTAAACTAAATGCAGGACAATCATTATTCCAATTGAATTTTATAAATTAAGTCTAATCAGTGAGATCAACTGAGTTGGTCTGTAGTTTTTAAAAAAGTAGTTGGAAGATTAAGATAATTTGGAGGCTGGTGTACAGGAGCAGATGCAGTTTGCTGTGTTCAGAATGTGTCTGCCCTTAAATTGATGAAATCTTAGGTGTGCTGCTGGTGATGGTGCAAGAGGAGGTTTGTCAACACAAATACCTTACACCCATTTTCAAGTTGCTGTTAATATTTGTAAACGTATTTTTGACCCTGCAGGAAACCGCAGTGTTCTCCAGTTAGCTCTGTACATAATCAGTGTAGTCTGGAGATGCTGAGCTAGCAGGAGTTTCCCAAATGTCCACTTACAGAAAAGAACAAAAGCAGCCTCTAAATTCTTGGGTTTGAATGTTGTGTGTGTGAAGTGGCTGTCAAGTGCTTTAGTCTGCAGGCGATCACTTGAACTGTGCTGCATCTGTAGTACTGAAAGGAGTCAGGTTGAGGGACCAGTGATAGCTGGCAGAGCCATAGGTGATTAGTCCATTACATAGGAGTCCACTGGCAATCGTAAGAATAATTTCCTGGGTTTTCAGGGCTTACGGAGCTTTTCCACTGCTCTTGCCTTAATTCAGCCTCTCAAGGCCTTCCATTGCTGTCCTCTCTCAGCAGTCCACGTGAAGGAGGCAGGTGAAAGAGCAGATTTCAGCCACACACATGGGAGTGTGACAGTACCAAAGAAGACTAGACCCTGCCTGGGAAGAAACAAATGTGGTCAGATTGGAGGGATTTTAACTTCTTTTTCCTGCAGCTCTTGAGAGTTTTTTAAATGCTTAGAAGTTACTGTTTAGCCAGTCTCAGATTAATTAACAGAAATGCATGGGAAAAAGTACATGTATACATTGCTTGGGAATCTCTTCCCCCAACCCTGTTCTTCAATATCAGTTTCCAGGAACTGAATTCATGGGAATTAAAACTGTCTTGGGTAGCAAGAGACACTTCTCCTTCTTAAAAATAGTGATTCTGATTAACTCCAATTATTTTTTGGATTTCAAACCACTCATCTCTGTTTAGTTGAGACTAGAGTACACCAGAAAACCTTTTGTTTACTTTACAGATATGATATGTAACCACCTTGTCACACAGAACTATCTCATACTGTATTACCAGGAAAAGTTGTTCAATAACCCACGTGAACAGACTAGCTCTGCTTCTACAGCAAGATTTGGGAATGTACCAAATCTCATTCCTTACCTAAGGCAGTCTCCAGCTGTGTGGGGTGCATTTATTCACACCTACCTACCTCTACCATTAGGTGGGGGTAAGCCTTCCCTTTTTGTTTTTGGTGTTTTTTTTTTTTTTGTTGTTGTTGTTGTTGTTGTTTTTTTTTTTTTTTGTGTGTGTGTGTTTTTTTGGAGAAATCACTACAGGTTTGAGAAATAAAGATAGCTAAAAGTGCAGTACACTTCCCCAGAGTGATGTCACACATCTGGCTCTTCTGAATTCTGACAGATGGTTGTTATGACAACACTGTTCTAAGATAGTTTTCTACAAAGAATCTTATGAAAACTGAAATAGACCTAACACATACAAGCAATAGTTTGCTGGGCTCCTTATGCAGTCAGTGGAGGTTAGTGGCACCCAGGACATAATGCTGAAGATCCCTGTCAGCGACCAAGAGTAAATAGGTGATTGATTGTCAGTTGCCAGGAGTGGAATCCGTATGCACAGTGGCTTAAAGTAAGAATAATGACTATTTCTGTGGCTGTAATGGTTGTCTTCGTTGTCGGGGTAGATTCCACAACTTGCCTGATTCATGCTTTCCCTGCATCTGTAGAGTTTTCTTCTCAAGTCTTGTGTGGTGAAAATTCTGAAGAATGATTGAATCTACTCTTCATGTCCTGCTACAGGGGTGGAGAGAAAGTGAAGCTAAATAGGCGACATAGATACTGCCACAACAAAAATGGAGTTTTCAAACAAAACCTCCTAATTACAATTAGTATAAGTCAGGAAAAAACCCTCTATTTCCACGTAGAGGATTAAGAAGGTAGCATTAAATGTCTTTGTATTTGAGAGGTTGTTCTGGAAGAGCAGAACTTTCCAAATCCTAAATTTTGCTCTTAGTATTATATTAAGGTTTTGAAAATATTAAAGTGAGTACCACTGATGCGTGTAATACTGAGGGATAAATGTGTTCATTATGTATGCACTTAGAGGAGAAGGGCTGTCTACTAATATTTAGTACTAATGTTTGTTGGTTCTATTTTTTATCTTTAAGAATGAAACCAAGAAAAATTAAAGAAGATGATGCTCCACGAACGATAGCCTGTCCTCACAAAGTAAGTGAAGTGCCCAGCTTATGAGTAGACAGTAATTTGTAGATCAGAATTTTGTATTGATGTTTTCTCTTGAGAATAAAAAACTAAAATACCTTACTGTTAATAGACTACACTCAGTTAACTGTATTTTAGTTATTATTCTCTAGAGGCTTCCTTAAAAATCTTTCACTGAATAATATATTATTCCCATTCCTTGTCTTAAGGTTAGTGCATCCCTAATCTTCTGGTAACCATGATGCACAGCCCCTAACATGCTGGTTTTACTGTTGTGATTTCCCGACACCCAAGAATACATACTTGAAAGAATGTTCTGAAAGCTGTTCAAAGTACGTTCCTAAGATCTATATATCCTCTGCTTGGAAACTATGACAGATTGGGAGTCTAGATCAGGAATCAGCAATTTATGGTGCAGATGCCAAAGTCAGCATTATTGGAAGACTCTGAATTATATTCCACAGAGCTGGAAGGTGCATCATCTTGAGAAGCAGGCATCTTGGAGATATGATTCTGACCCACTGGTAGCAGGGAAGCTTCTGTCTTGAATAAATGTTGCCAGTCACCTAGATTGGTAGCATCTGGCTTTACTGCATTATCCAGCTTTTGTAGTGCTTCTGTTAGCTGACTTAGTCTGTCACAAAAAAAGACAAATACAATCTTGCTGACTTCTGGTCTAGATTAAGTGTGAGCCTAAGCAAATAATCAGGGCAGATAGCTAATAGTACCCATTAGCATGAATGGAGGGCTACTTTCTGGCTGCCGTGGTGTAAGGAGTTTTCTGAATTCTTCTTTGTGCATAAATTGATTTCCAGTTCTCCACATTCTATGAGTGTCATGTTTTATCGTAATACAGTATGCAGAAATACAGGATCAGTTACTCTTTGAAGCATCAAGGAATGTTACCTTCATTTCTTTGATTTACTTTTTCATAGCCTCAGCTTCATCTGAACGGGGAGGGGGGAAAAAGAATGTTGTATCTTTACATTTTCTGTCTTCTAGTGTTTCTAGGCTTTGTGCATTTATGACTTCAGTTTAAAAAAAGAAATATACTGTAGATGTAACTGCTGCTCTTGGAGGCTAGGAGGGACTTGGAAATAAATACAAAAAAAGTTGATGATCTGTTAATTTTGGTGCTGCTTTGCCACACCCAGTTCTGCTACATGGAACAAATGGTGGCACAATACTTCAAAATTAGCCAAAGCAGTTCTAGTCCCTGAAGAGAGAACTCTTCTTGAAAGTGACGTTTCCTCTTTTTTAAGAAATAAGGCATGTTTAAATGTATTAATCTTGAAAAAGAAACATGCAGAATTTCATATTACCAATTTAAGTAGAAAGATTAAGTAAAGAGAGCAGCAGGTCACTGCTGGCTTAAGCACACTCTGGAATCAAAAGCAGTATTCCTGTATTGATGCAGCATGGACCCCAGGTTAAGATTTCAGATGCTGTAGCTGAGTTAATGTATCTTTTGCTTTTCGATTGAGTTGGCAGTAACTCAACAAATTCTCTCACCTTATTCAGTTGCCCAGTATCACATTGTAGGTTTAAACTGTAGCAGCAGTGGCACTCTGGCTTAAGGTGGTAGTGATCAGTACTGCTGCTGCCAGTTTGGGCAAGGTAGTTTCTGTAAGTTGTTATGTGCTGGAAACCAACCTTCTTGCTCCATTTCTTCTCAGAAATGAGAAGAAAGACAACAGAATGTTGGGAGATGGAGTGGTGCACATACAAATTGGTACTAGAGAATAATTTGTGGTATATTAGATACTATGTAATATGTTGTAGTAGTACTGTAGTACTCAGAATATTGCACGTTGGAGAATATACCGTAGGTATCCATGAATTATCATTTTGTTTTTTGTGGGTTTTTTGTTGGATTTTTTGTTTTGTGTTTGTTATTTCTTCTGAAACCATTGTGTGTTTTTGTTTGGTTTATTCATTTACTTCTATCAGAGCTGCATCTTTTTCATGAGACTGTCCTATTATTCCTTTGACTGCACGTGGCTCATAGTACTAAGTGAGGAGAGAGGTTGAGATTTTTGTGTTTGGAATTGTGTTTAGGTTTTTTTATCAACTTGTCAAATTATTAATTTTCTTGTATTGGTTTTTTAAAAATAAATATAAGGGATGTTCTTTTCAGGGTCAACTTATGCAGAAGTGTTCAGGGTATAAAAGCATTCTATATGCTTGTATTGTAGCAGATAAAACCTTCTTTATGAGAACTAGCTTATCTACTAATTGAGTTTCACTGTTCTTTTTAAGGGCTGCACAAAGATGTTCAGGGACAACTCTGCCATGAGGAAGCATCTGCACACTCATGGCCCTCGAGTACACGTATGTGCAGAATGTGGCAAGGCCTTTGTGGAGAGCTCGAAACTAAAGCGGCATCAGCTAGTTCACACCGGAGAGAAACCCTTTCAGGTATCCTTCACCTCTAGGTCTAAGTACCACTGTTTATACATGTACACTGTAACTGTAACCTGGCTTCCATACCACTTTGGGGATACTGTGCCTTTGTGTCTTTCCTAAAAGCAGATGAGGCAATGAATGATCACCTTAAAAACTACCCCTTCAGCTAATTAGTCTGTCATGTAACTGTTTCTATGGACTTCTCTAGAATTTGGCAGATCGTAGGTACATGGGAGATGCCTTTCAAAATAAGATATGAAGTTACTCACTTTAACAATGAAGGTTGCAGTTACTATTGAATTAAGAAAATGTCTCTTTCTCCTCATCATCTTTTCAACTTAGTGCTTGTGGACAACTGAGACTTGGGGCTGCTTGTTCATTTGACTCAGGATACTAATTTTCAGTAGAGGATATTAATCAGTTTTCAGCAAAATGATGGGAGTCACTAAAACTCTTTCTGTTGATATCCACTCACGTGGGCTTCTGCCACCAGAGGTCCCCTGCCCTCTTCATATGATACTCCTTAAAAATCTTCACAGCTGTTTATAGTCTTGAGCATATCTAATGTTCTCCAATGCACATTTAAGATATATTATTTTTTTATTATTTTTCAGAATAAATTATTTCAGAAACTTGATTTGCAGTCCTCAGGCACTTCGCTTAAATGTGTACACTGGATATCCTATGTGGTAAATATAAGTATTTACCACTGAACATGCTCTCCTTTTTATTTCAAGCCCACCTTAAAGTAAAGTGGGTAAAATGAGTAAATCTTGCAAATTATCACTGAAAGGGGGAAATTCTTTTGTGAAACCCTGTTTCTGTTTTGTAGTACAGTGTAACAAAGTACTGTTCCAGATGTACAGGTGTTTTTAGTGTAAGCATTTACTTCTAAGCTGGAAGTTAGTTATCTTCCTCTTTGAAAATAGATATGCTATTGTATATATACTATATATGGTATACTTCAGTATCTATACTTAAGTATTGCAGTTTTCAGTGTAGTTCAAAGGTGATGCCCACAGCTTCAGTATAATAATCTTCAGCATCTGACTTCATGTTTGTGCAGTCTAATGATTTGAGGAATATTGCTCTACTCAACGATGGAAACGTGTGCTGTTTTGTTAGCTAACAGAGTGTATCTTTTCCTTTCCACAGTGTACATTTGAAGGATGTGGAAAGCGTTTTTCACTGGACTTCAATTTACGCACACACGTGCGAATTCATACTGGCGACAGGCCCTACGTTTGCCCATTTGACGGCTGCAATAAGAAGTTTGCGCAATCAACTAACCTGAAATCTCACATCTTAACACACGCTAAGGCCAAAAACAACCAGTGAAAGTTGGAGGAGAACATTCTTGAACTCAAAAGCGTCTTGCAGGAAAATGAATTGGAAATAAATACGCTTCCCCTTTGTATATTGTTTCTAGGAAAGAATTTTAAAAAAAAAAAGAACCCTACAAACTAAAGGACGTGTTTTGATAAGTAGTAAATAAAAAGCAAAAAAAAAAGAAATCACACAAAAAACTTTAAGGTGACATTGTTAAGATGCTCTACCTTGATATGTAACCCCGTTTCAAGAACACGGTGTTTTGTAAAGTGCGTCCCCAACTGGACGGGTCAGCTCGTGAACTTGCATCAAAAAAGACAATTCTTTATACAACAGTGCTAAAATTGGACTTCTTTTCACATTCTTATAAATATGAAGCTCACCTGTTGCTTACAATTTTTTTTAATTTTGTATTTTCCAAGTGTGCATATTGTACACTTTTTGGGGATATGCGTAGTAATGCTATGTGTGATTTTCTGGAGGGTGATAACTTGCTTGCGGTAGATTTTCTTTAAAAGAATGGGCAGTTACATGCATACTTCAAAAGTATTTTCCTGTAAAGAAAAAAAAAGTTATATAGGTTTTGTTTGCTATCTTAATTTTGGTTGTATTCTTTGATGTTAACACATTTTGTATAATTGTATCGTATAGCTGTAATGAAATCATGTAGTATCAAATATTAGATGTGATTTAATAGTGTTAATCAATTTAAACCCATTTTAGTCACTTTTTTTGGAGAAATACTGCCAGATGCTGATGTTCAGTGTAATTTCTTTGCCTGTTCAGTTACGGAAAGTGGTGCTCAGTTGTAGAATGTATTGTACAGGCACTGACCGTTTATTAACACCTGATAATATGTACATCCCCCTATGTAATAGAAAGGGCAACAATAAAACAGTGGTCCTAAAGAAAGAATCTGGCAGAAAATGATCTGTAAGCACAGTCTATTTTCTTTTGTTGTCCAGAGCAGTTCTAGTTCCTCTTGACCTCCCAGAAATTGGAAGCTAAATAAACTCAAGTTTCCTTTACTTTGCATTCAATTATAGTGATTTGTGATGCAATTACGTAATGCCACGTCAGGTGGTGTATCTAAACAGATTTGCCGACTGTGATTCTGGTTTTGAGTGACATAGACTTCCATTAACTGGAACGGTGGATTTGGAGACTTGGCAGTGTAGTGGGGAGTTTTCAATGTGCCTGGACAGCAACTAGGTAAAACAGTACAGTAAATAACTAAATGGAAACCTTTGTTTAGTCAAGGTAAGGAATGTTGGAGGTTTAAATGGAGTAACAATAGAAAGTGGAGGACTGGTAGGGTTTGAGTGGTCATACCAGGGGAAAAAAAAAAAAAAAAGAAATTGTCATTTTCTTTTGGCTAACTTGTTTGACTGAGTGTAATGATAAAAATTCTTGGAACCTTATTTGACACCTTTTGCTTCAAAACAAGAACTCTTGTGTTCTAAGAGAACTTGATAGAGTTGAGTTTTAATGGTCTAATAAGAGTGGTTACTACTCATTTGTTCAAGTGTTCAGAGAAAGAACTTAGCAGAGACTATAGTAAAATGTGACAGATTAATAAACAGAAGAAAGTGCACGGAAATGCATAAGTTATTTTTTAGAGACATGTAACATATTTCAGTGCAGTAAAAAGTGTTGTTAATTTTTTTCTGAATTCTGTTCTTACAAGGTTCAGCAAAGTTTTTATTGCTAATACTGTAAAACTTAATTTTGAGTCCAGTGTTGGTGGTAGTGGAAAAAAACATGGATAATAAAGAAACTACACTTAAGACCAAGGGAATTTTCATCCATACATAAATTAATCTGAACACTGCAACTCTAGTCTGAGGTTATTAGGGGTAGAAAGAAGGTTGGGGCATTTAATTGTAAAGTATGCGTTAGAATTTTGGCAGTATTTTTTCTTTTATATATAAGCAGTTTTTGAACAGGACAATATACTGAAACTTGTATAGTTATAGTTAAATTCTGTATACAGTTAAATTAGTGTCTATTCTTTTTGGAAGGAAATAAAATTAATTCAGTCTAGTTCTAATTGACCCTACATTTTTTCTTAAACAGTGTCTATGATGGTTAAGCTTGCACAGAAGTTTTCTTTCCTGTGTTGTAAAGAGGTACACATTGCAGGGCGTCAGTACTTCATCCCTGAACGTATATTTGAGGCTAATCTAAGTTAAATATTGGTTTGAGGACCAACTGGGAACTGTAACTGTTACTACTTCTGGTTATATTGCATCTGATTACAGAGAGATATTTTCATCCAGACCTCAAATCAGTAGCACTCAATATACTCCTCAGTGTAAGTAGCAACACTAAGTAGCTTGAAAGGTCTTGCTTTCTAAATAGTTAATTCCATATTGGGTATGAATAAATACTTGCATCAAGCAGCTTCTACAAGTTATTTAAACTTTTGAAGTGTAATTGGCACACTTTGCTTATAAAACATCGTGCTTAACTGATCCCAGAGTTTTCCTTAAGGTTTTTCAGTGAAGAAATTACAGGCTTTGAGAATAGGAAGAGCTGACTTTGAAACCACCCTTCCCAGCCTACTATTCCTGCATTAGACCACCAGATTTGTGAGCAAGTTCAGGTAAGGGGAGGAGAGTCTGAGGGGTGGTGGAAAGGTAGCTGGTGGTTTTAAAACTGGCAGAGGATTTCGGTGCTTACTCATCTTGCACGTTCTACTGCTCACAGTGTCGTACATTTACCTTACCTGGTTCTGCTGCTGTCAGAATGAAATGAGGCAAATTCTGTACTCAGAATCTTTTGTACTCAGACCAACTTTTTAATGGTAGAACAGACTACATTTCTCTAGCTTTGTCTCTTTATGGTCCGTCAGTAAATACAAGACATTGAATATAAATACCTGTTGGTGGAGAGCGTGTTTCTTGAAAAGGTGGTAGGAGGAGTGCAGGTTCAGATTTGAAATGCTAAATGAGTAAATTCTTAAAGAAACGGAGCGTCGGGGCCTCAGCTGAACTTGCACTTAATATTAGTTATCTTCTGTTTGAAGAGGTTCACTGTTGAATTGAGGTGGTGCATTTTGACTTCTTTTTCTTCCCATTTGTGGCCTCAAATTGCCAATCAACAAAGCCAAATACTAAAGACATTTTAACAGTGTAGCTTGTCAGCAGTAGTGTAGTTTTAAAGGCAGGTGGAGATCCTTCCTTTCCACTAATTCCATAGTAGGTGAAAAGTAGCAATATTTACCAGAAACGGCAAAATTATTGAGGCTTGAAAATGTCTGAAGAAAGCTAATCCCTTCAAAGTGCAAGATGAAGAGAGGCACGGCAGTGATGGTAACAGGTGTTTCCACTTGGTCATCACCTGTCCCGGGCGCTCACAGGATATTTTGTCAGTGTGTGCCTTGGAAAAATGGTCTGATTAGTCTTTCTACTCAGTTAAAATGGAGAAATTCAAGGGCAGTATGTGCTGAATAGCATTCTTCAAAACGTTCCCTTAATGCCTAGAAGAAATGGAGAAAATCTGGTGGTTTTGTTGGGGCTGCTAGACAAATCCGTCTAGGAAGTCTAATCAGTCTAAGTGGCAGCTGTTACCGACGTTGGTTGATGTATAATACGTGTCTATAATGTACCATCTATAATTTTGGCACTTCAGGATAACGAGTTTTTCATCTGTACAACACCCTTCTAAAGTCTGCTGTGTTACAGTGGCCGGAGGAGGGAAGTAAACACTGTTGTGTCAGCACTGAGCTTTACTGCACTAATGTTCCTGCGGTGCTTAAAGCTGTTGAGGAGAACCTGGGGTAGATTCTAAAACTGAATTTTGGGTGTGAGTTTTGGAGGCAGGAATAAAAATAAGAGTTGGACTTCAGATCAGTGTGCTTCTTCGTGGCTCTGTAAATGGAATAGTTAAAAAGTAGCACTTGGAAAGAGTCCCAGGGCTAAGGAATGGGAGAGTGAAGTAGGGCAAAGGGTAAGCGACCTTGCTGTTGAAGACATGGAGCAGACACATTTGCAGTGTTCCATAAAGGCAGAAGCAAATTTGAGCAGGAATGTATGTGCTTGTATTATGAGACTGAATTATCCCATTTGATCATATGAATTGGTCTAGTGTGAAGATGGCTTTAGAGCAGTGCTTAAATGCCAACTGGATGACTACTGGCTTTATTCTATAATTTAATCAGTGGTCCTTTTCTCAGTTTCATTCTCTTTGCCTCAAATAAACGAGCTTAGGTAAGTTGATGTGCATTCTCAATCATCCTATACTATTAAGGCAGTTTTGCTTTGAATTTTTCCAGTCCTCCTCTCTGGAAATAGTCTGGAGAGTATAGAATTTCCTTCTGCAGCAAGCACGTCAGATTCTGAGTAAGAGCTAATGTGAACTTTTCAGGTCCTGGCTTCCCCTGAAGTAGCAGAGAAACAGTTTTGCTCTAGGTAAATGGATAAGATCACTTACAGCAGCAACTGGGTTTTAGACAACTTCCATTTCAGGATTTTCCAAATCTTCTGTTACTTTTTTCTAACAGAAAACTCTTGAGTGCTGGTTGGGTACCACGCCTTCTATTGAATGTTAAGGTGTGGATGTGATAACCCTCTTGTGAGCTGTTGTTCTCACCAGGTTCCTGTGAATGCTGGAAGCTCTTCAGGAGCAAGCCTGAAGTTCTGTCCAGTGTCGGTTTAGGGAGAGAAAGAAAGGGACAGAGAGGCAGTGGTGTCCCTTGCAGAACTTCTGTGTGCTTCTCTTGCCACCACTTACTAAGAGTTGCTGCGGGTTTTGGTGTGATTTCTCTCTAATCAGGCTGATACTGGGTGACATCTACGTCAGTGCTTTCTCTCTCTTCAGAAACTCCCGAGTCGCAGTTTGCCAGGAGATGGCAGTGAATTACCTGTTTGCACGGCGTGACCAGCAGACAGAATGGCAGTGTCGAGGTGCCCCGTGAGGTCAAGTGTGTGTAGGGTGTCCTGGGGTGTTCAGTGGACCCTGACAGACTTGGAGCGTGCCAGTGTCAAAGAGCAGATTTCCCACACACCAGTGCAGAAGAATAAGGAGTACAGTTCTGAGCTGATTTCTGACAGTCCCGGGTGTGCTTGTGCATTCATCAGAAGCACCAGCAAGGCAATGGAAATAAAGACTAAAAAACTGTTGAGAGTGACATGGGTCATATATGCATGCATGCACCAAATATTAATACTAAATATCTTTTGAGAGAAATGTGGAAATCTGATGACACATGGTGTTAATGAATGTGCTTTCGGCTGTGAGTGGCTGTTTTGGTTAGCTGATAGACCTGTACAACAGCACTGCTTCTTTCCAATAGTGGCTTCCTGGAAAGTCCAAGCTTCCCTGATGCAGTTGGGGCCTTTGCTTCAGTCTGTTGCAGAAAGGCAATTCCAGGGACTGTAGGACAGAAGATTTGGCCTTTTGATATAGAATCCTTCGGTTTTCAATTTTAACTGGTGCTCTGACTGAACCTCCAATTGATTTATATGAATCCAATGACTCCCATAGCTTTGAAGGGCATACAAGTGTTCATGGTTTGAAAACAGATCATAAGGAATAATGTCAGGTCTTCAGGTTTTCCTCTTGTGTGGTTGGTTGGTTGGTTTTTATTCTTTTTTCTTGCATAGGTTGGGGATAAGGGATTTCATCTAGATATTTCTAGAGTGAGAAATAAAAATGTGCACAGTCTCTGAGCTGAGCAGGGAAGCAGGTATCTGCCTAGATTAAAATAAGGGTAGAACTTACTTTTACCTCCTTTAATTGCAGTTAAAAAGCTTCAACTTTATTACTGGGCTATTTGAAAAGTACCTGTTACAGATTCTTCCTTAAGTGAAAATGCCTGTTAGAGATTTTTCCTTAAGTGAAAGTACCTCAGTGCACATGGAATAACATATATGGCCTGGTTGATTGTAACACTAAAGTATTCCTGATCTATGATAAATCTCTGCTTAAGAGAACTGGATCAGGTCCTAGAGAAGGAATACTCATTTCATACCAACATTAATTTGGCCAAGTCAAATTACTCTTCTTTCTATTTTGATATATTTAGCAAATGGTGCAGACCATGAGGTTTTATTGATTGACACATAGTTATGACTAAAATGGTACAAGTCTATTTTACTATCTGTAAAAAATACAGAGTGTTTTCTTTCAGTGAGAAAAAGCAGTCATAATGAAGTTTGAATGATACAAAGAAGCAACTTGACTGTGTTAGTTGTTAGGTTTTATAGACCGGAAGAACATTTTGTGAACATCAGAACTTGCCTTTCTTCAATTTATACCAATCTATAGGGTATTAGTTTTCACTGCAGACCTTGTCTTGCTCTCAGTTTATTTATTGATGAACCAGTATAGCTTTAAATCACTTTCTGGGTCAAATCAATTAAAACTGGTAATAAACTATAAGTAGAAAAACTGTTACTGTATATCATATATATTATTATGTCACTTTTTTTTCCTGTTAGTGTTAACCATTTTTGCAATTAGTGAGAACAACACTAATATAAACATTGCAAAATAGTTGCACTGGGAAGATAAAAATGGCTTGTTTTCCTCTGCTTTGTTCCCCCACTGCCCATGGATATGCATAAATTCCTGAACATTGAAAGGAACAATTTTGCTTCCTCTTGATTTCAAAGCCTGTCTCCACTAGGTTTGGCCCAGCAAGTTCCCTGCTCTCTTGTTGTGCCTCCCGGAGTCATACAGTCCATCAGATCCTTCGTCTGTCTCCATGGCTGTGGTATTTGGTAGAGCATGTTGCCTTGGGTAAGCTTCTATTTTCTCTGCCTGTTTTGCTCCTTTAATTGCAGATTCTGCTACATCAGATGGTGTTTGGCACACTTTTGGGCTTAAAATTGTTCTTTAGCTAGCCGCTAACAGCAGTTGTTAATACCTGTTTTCCAGCATAATAATAATAAATATATTTAATTTCAAAGAACAAGCACATTTCTTCTTTGCAAGGTCAATTTTTTACATTTGTGTCTTAGCCACTTTCCCAATATGCTACCTGGCCCAGAGCCTCACCACCCTTATAGTATAGAATTTCTTCCTAATACTCTGTCTAAACCGACTCTCTTTCAGCTCCAAGCCATTACCCCTTGTCCTATCACTGCATATATGCAGGGAAAGATGAAGAGGGGAACAAAAAAAAAATATGGTTGTGTTACAATTGCAGGTATGATGAACTGAATTTCACACTGGTAGTTCTGTGACAGTAACTTCTGTAAGAAGTAGTATGCCTGGGTGCTTTTTTCCCCTCTTGTCCTAGTTGGGCATGTTTGTGGCTGTAACTTGTAACGGTGTCATGACCTACCCAGTTTAAGAAAGAGTAAGTCAAACTCACTCTTCATAGTGAGTTTTACTTTCAGTGAGTCTTACCTTCTCAATCCCTTCAATTGTTGGGGAATTAATAGGGCATTTGCTGCCCAGGATCATGATGCTTGATGATGCTGTGGGAAGAAGTATCTGGGGAGGCAGGACATAGTTCTGTCTGAATTGTCTGACATCTCAAAAATCTACCAGGAAGGAACTGTATCATGTTTAAAAACGCTGAGACTATTGTCTAGCTTGATTTAAGAGTTAGGAGCTGCACAAATTCCAAGCAAGTGACATCAGACTAGGCTGAAAGCTGGCTTTACCCTCCTCTCATGCTTGTTGAGTAACATCCAGTGTCTGCTACTCATTATGTCTTAAGTTCCAGATGGATGAATTTCTGACGAGAATGCTTTAGTAAACACTACAAGTGAAACATGGTATAGCCCTTTTCTGTTTTAATGACATTAGTCTTTTAGGGATAAAGTGTTAGCTTATTCCAAGTATTTGTGTCTATTCCATAGTTCAGTGTTGTTGCTCCTGCTGAGAGAACAAAAAGTACTTGACTAGAACTGACCCTGGTCACGGTCAGTTGCAGAGGTGTTGACCTTTCCTTCTCTGATCTGGCAAACTGACGCTTGACAGGGTTTGTGTCTGTCACAAGAAGATGAATTAGTGGAAGCAGGACCTGAAGTAACCTCTCAACAGTGAGACTGGAGTGAGTCCAGAGAAGGCCACAAAGATGCTCAGGGGTGTTGGAGCACCTCTCCTATGAAGACAGACTGAGAGAGTTGGAGCTGTTCACCCTGGAGCAGAGAAGACTCTGAGGAGATCTTAGAGGACTTTCCACTACCTAAAAGGGGCCTACTGTAAATTTGGAGAGGGACTTCTTGCAAGGGCATGCAGTGATGAGGGATAATAGTTTAAAACTGAAAAAAATTAGTAGGTTCAGATTAAATATTAGGAAGAAATTCTTGATAGAGGGTAGTGAGGCACTGGCACAGGTTGCCCAGAGAAGCTGTGGCTGCCCTATCCCTGGAAGTGTTTGAGTACAAATTGAATGGTGCTTTGACCAATCTGGTCTGGGGGAAGGTGTCCTTGCTTATGGCAGAGGGTTGGAACTAGATCTTTAAGGTCCCAACCCAAACCATTCTATGATCAGCAAGGAGAGGTCCTTTTCATAGGTCATCTTACACATCATCCTGCTTTTCCTTTGTGGCTTTTTATTTGAAATACTGATGGTCTTTCTGGCCTAGTTGCACTGTCTAAAACAAAAAAACTACAACCTACAAAACTTTTTGCTAAACTGTGCATCACAGAGCCAAGTATATTCTTCTGAATCAGGTAGGAACAGTCCTTGATTCTGATGTGATCCCACAGAGACCCAGGACTTGAACAGTTGTGCAGCCTTGGTGCTGATCAGCACTGCTTAAACAAAAGAAATGCAGAATATGAAGGGTTTAAGCATGGCACCAGCTCTTTGGCTTTAAGAGCAGGCTTGTTCTCTGAGCAGCAAAAGGGTCAGTTTGAAGAAGTGAGGCCAGGCAGTTTCCTTTCTTTGCTCCAGTGAACTGATCGACTGTAAGCCAGAGCAAGACCCTGCCCTTCCTGATGGTGAATGGAAGGCAGATGGGAACAAGTTTCTACTGGGAAAAGGCAGAAACCCCACCCTCTTTCAAGCTCTATTTGACACAGAGAAGCATCTGAGTAAAACATAAAAAAAACTTTAGAGAACCAAAGTAAAAATTTTTAAAAAATTTATTCCCTCAATTTTATATACAATAATTACAGTCTACTGTACAAAGGTGTAAATGGTCTTTGCTGTGAGTTGTTGTGCATATGCAGCTTAGTAGATAGATTTAACATTCAATTTGAATCTCAGTGCAAGTAGGCACTAGAACATCCACCATACCTCCAAGGTATAAAGAGACATACCAGTTTTACAGGTTTCTCCAGCATATTTTGTTACAGTGCAAAATGCTATGAAATAAGGTTTCTTTAGAAAATTCATATAAATTAAACACATATTGCACTTGTCCCAACCAAAAGTGTAACAAGTTGTACTTACTGAACTACTTTGATATGTTTTAAAACATTGCTCACACACATACACTCCTTCCTTCTGGCTATTTGTGCCAAATATGTGTAGTTTTTTTTTTTTCAAATCTTAAATAACTGTTTATAGCTCTTTAACTAATACAATCCTTCTTCAACAGACTGCTAAAAAAAGAAAAAAAAAAATCACAGCAGATTAATGTAACAAGAAAATTCTCCAAACCCCTTTTCAGTCCTCTTTCCAGTAGCACTGTAACTAAATACATAAAAATCAGTATTGTTTCAATTCATAATGCAAGTGTATTGAACAGCAACCATTTCAGACACTTACACCTCTATTTTCTGAAAAGATATGAAACCTCTAGTTCTAAATATGTATTTCTATGGTACTTGGAGCTGCTAAGCCAACGTTGCACCCACAAAAGTTTTGTGCAATACCACAGGCAGGACTTTGACATCTGTACATCACTGGCTGCTATGGGGCATGTTGGGAGAAGTGGTGCAAAATTGCATTGACTTTGGAGAACAAAGTCTGCTTGGTCTGAGCTAACTTAATCCAGTCCATGCACCCACCAAAGGAGAAACAGAGGTGTAGGCAAACAACATCAATCTTACTAGATTTGAATTTCCCTAAATCCTTACAAGCCTTGAGATTTAAAGGAACAAGTGCATTTGAGTGCAGATACTAACTTTGTGCTTAAGATATTTATTCAAAGCTGAAATGTAAGGGAGTAGCTTAAATACAAATATTTTCTCTCTCCTTTTTAATTTTTTTTTTGTAAATTAGTATGAACAAAGTTGCTACTAAAACCACTGACGTATAAAAGCAGAGGATAAGTAAAACACATGACTAGCTGAATGCTAGTCCATGTCTTAAACAGTTTGGGGTTACCTGCAAAATGCCTCCAACATTTAATTTATTCCCCCTACTTCACCTTAAGTATACTTAACTCCTGTCACATACAAAATGAGTATTTCTTTCATGAAAACATTTCTGCATTCAACTCATTCATTCAGAACATGAGTGGAAGAAAACATAATTTCTGGTACTACGGCATTCTCCAGATCCTCTTCTGGAGCCGCAACAGTAACTTTCTAAAGGCAGGTCCCCTTCTTACTTGAATACTACTAGATATGGAGTCCTGAATAAGGCAAGATGCTGTTTATACAAGTAGTGAGATGAAATCCTAATTTGACATTTAGGAATTCTTTATACAGATAGCATACATCTACACTACTTGTGCAGGTCAAGCATTCATGTTCAACAAAACCCAACCAGCTGGGTTTGGACGAGGAGAACAAACAGATTAAGTTTGCAAAGTGGAAGGCTGGTGGATTACTGGATCTGGTTCACATTCAGGAATGTTGTCTTCTGACCTCATGTACATTAGGAACACAGTGACAGTAGCAAAGGTAGCTGCATTGACAGGAAAAGCACGGAGCAGTGTGGAAGTGAGACCTCTCGTGAACACCCTCCAGCCTTCTTCATGGTAGCTCTTTCTGACACAGTCCATAATGCCCTTGTATTGTGTAATGCCTCCGACCCCGTCGGCCTGGAGTCGGGATTTTATCACATCCATGGGATAGGTTGAGAGCCAGGACACAATTCCTGACATTCCTCCAGAAAACAGCAGTTTGGGAATAACGTAACTGTCTTCAGCTTCACAGCCTAAATACCTAGTCATGCAGTCATAGGTCAGGAAGTAAAAGCCAAAGCTTGGAGTTTCTCTTATGAATGTAGAGACCATGCCCCTGTTGATACCCCTCAGCCCTTCCTTCTGATAGATTTTGATCAAGCAGTCCAGAGAATTTTTGTAGTTCTTCGTTTTCTGTTTGTATTCTCCTGTTCCTTGAAGCTGCATTCTTGTCTTTGCCAACTCCATGGGGCAGCAGATGATGCACTGGATAGCCCCTGCTGCTGACCCTGCAAGGAACTGGTTTAAAGGAGTGTCTTTTCCAAGAGCACGAAGTGTGTTTCCTTGTACACCGAACACAAGCGCATTAATGAATGTAAGTCCCATCATTGGTGACCCAATACCTTTATAGAGTCCAAAAGCCTGATGGAAAAAGGAAAGAAAAATGCTTTTTAACAGTGGTGTTGATAACCTTCTGAAACTGCAGAATGTGACCCTTCTGGCTCTCACGTGTGCCCTAACTTTCTAGGGGTACCCGGAAGATCAGAACCACCTTGCTTCATAATAAAAATTTACCACTAAACAACTTAGCAGTACAAATATATAGTTGAACACATCCATAAAATAATCTTAGTCCATCCAGAGAAAAGTTTTCTGGGATATTTTATACTTTTTTTTTTTTAATGTATCTTAAAGCCTGAAACCACCCTTTCAGCTGAGGTCTTAAAGCTTCAGCAGTGAAAACACCTCCCCAGTCTCTTCACTCATTGCTCCGATTGCTTGCATTCTCAGAAAATTAGTTATTTAAAGAACTCATTGCTTTATTTAAAAAATTAACTTCAAAATACCAACTTAGTAATATTCTTCACAAAGTTTCTGGCAAACTTCTGATTACAGAATCTGCCCTAGGTGAAGTTCAGAGTATGCTTTATCTCTTGATCTTCAACATCTGTAGTTGTGGGGTTTTTTGTTGTTTGTTTATTTTAACAGCTTTCCCACCCTTCTGAGTCAAAATATACAAAGATAAAAAAATATGCAAAACTTACAGATTCTTGCTTTATGATGGACTGAAAGCAATGGAAAGTCCCACGGTAGAGAGGCTTCTCTACATTTTGAACTTGTAGACGGACCTATAAAAAAGTTGTGTGAGATACTGATTCGTACATCAGGAGCAGCCTAGTAGGTAAACTACTGTCTTGTACCTATGTGGAAATTTGCTGTAACAATGAATGTGCAAGAACACAGGCTGGACACTAAATACGTGGCAAAATAATTTGAAAATTTCATGTAAGTGTTTTGAATTAATTTGGGGGGGGGGAATGAAAACATGAAGGGAAGAGGATTATTAACTTCTTGTGAATATCAGAAAACCAGTATGTGGAAGGCTGCATTGTTATCTAGAATTTCAAATAGAAGTTTTCCAGTACAGGCTACAATAGGGACTTTCTTAAGCTGCCAAGAGTAATTCTGTTCAGACTGAAGAGTATCTGTACAAACCTGACAGAATTTTATGAAAAAAACCCCAACTATTTGCAAGTCAATAATGAAATAAAGATAGTTTTAAAACAAGATGGAAACTTTCAACAACACCCATGGTATTTCTGATTACCAGATTTGGGCTATTCATTGAGATCTATTTTTTTTTTTTCCCCAGAGGGTAGCTGGGCAGTGACTCTTAAGATGTTTGCATAAGAGAAGGAATAAAAAGCCACTAGTCCCTTCAAATTTTAGTCTGTTTTATTTCAAACCTGGTGACTACAAGCAATTGATGAGGGTGTGGCTGCTTCAGACCTTTAATGTTAGTAATCCATTAACTTTTCCAAAGCTGAAATTGTGTGTTCTCCTGGACAGATGGATGCTGCTGTAACAGGTGCTCTTAGGAGACAGGCCCTTTTCTGGATGTTTTTAAACCTTTAATGGAAAAGTTCAATTCTGTTTTTTTCATGCTAATTTGCCCTCACTATGGTTAAAAAATTTCAATTGTACTTAGCTTATGCAAAGCCCTACACTGCAATAAACTCAATAAATTGGTTTCACTGATTTGATAAAGTTATAAATCTGTCTTTGATCTCCAGCATGGAGGGCTGCAGTGTTCTTCAGAAAATGTGCTTATCAAACATTTAATGCTGCTGCAATTCCAGGGCAAAAGAAAATATTATCATATCTGTGTGAAAGATTCCTGAACTTAAGGTATTTTTATCTGGTTTTGCCTAAGGTAATAAAATCCACCACCATAATAAAGAAAGACCTTTAAGGTGTGAGTCTAGAAAAGGATTTGTGGAGGTGGGTTGTCAGAATGCTGTATTTATGTTAGCTTTCTTTGAAGGAAAAATAAACATTTTTTTTTAGTTTCTTTTCTTTTTAATATTCTTACAACATGTCACATTATGCCTTGTAAATCAAAACTTTAGTTTTCAGTATCTTTTTAGTACACACATTAGTGTATGCTAGCCTACTGGGATGCTGAGATCACCTCAGGTCTTACAGCATCTTAGGGTTAAAAGCAGTCTCATGATAGGATTCAAAGAAAATAAATCCTTTGTTATTTAAAGTGACTTTTGGGGGATGGGCAGATTGTCAAAACTGTTAAAGAAGTAGGTCCACAAACAAAGTCATAAATCTTAACAAGCTGCCACAATTGCACAAATGAAGGTTTTACTCCATTTACAATTTACTGCTATTGTTTCAAACCCCATCTGTGAAGTTAGTGGACTTCCACGTGGATGTGCTCAAGGAGATTTGCAGCTTAGGAACCTTCTTCATCTTTTCTACACACTTGTGTTTAATAGTTTAGAATTAGTCATATTCTACATAAGGGTTGAATTTCCTAGTGGTATGTAGCTCCCACTTTTGCCCAAATACTTTGTGAAATATTAGTGAATTAAGCCCTGTTGTAGGATGAAATATTTAGAGAGTACTGACCCTCCAAGTCTAAGAATGGAAAACATCTCTTTCCCTTGAGCACAGGGCTGGTCACATAGGGGTACCTGCATTAGCAAACTGTTGCATTAGGCAGTGAGTGCACATCATTTCATGCATATTAATGCCATACGCAACAAGTTCTTTAGTGTGTACAGTTATAGGAAGGATGAATCACGTGCAAAGTTTAGCCTTCTGTTCCATTCATTGCCCAATGTTCTTGATTCCTTTGTATTGGAAACCACCATTTCTAAGGTCTTAGGTTGAAGAGTAACATATAGTAATTTCACATTACTTAAGACTTGCATAAAGGTGCTGAAGACTAAACAAAACAATCCCAAACCACTACATCCCCACACAGTCCAAACATTTAATAATGTGGGAAATAAGTGAGTTCACAAGTGGTTTAGCAATGAAAACATCCTCCAAGGGTGTTTAGTGTGTAAGACCTCAACAACAGTGTGTCTGAGATTCAGTTTTAGAGGCACTGTGTGTGGAACTGTATACAGCCAGAAATGCATAGCAGAAAGAAGGTACAGAATAAAACTACATAAAAAAAGAAAAAAAAAAAAGGATATTCAAACCCCACTCCCTCCATGCCATAGCTGTAGAAGAGGGACACATCAGTTTAAAACTAAAAAGGGAAAAAGCTTCATAACTCTTTCAGATTTTTACTTGAACTAATACATTTGGGAATAAATTAAGACTGAGAGAAACAGAAGTGTTCACCTGGGCTATACTTACTAGGTAACTCTCCCGTGATGAGGCTTATCTGTCATCTACAACAAAGTAACACTTTTGCTGTTAATGAAGACAGCCCCTAGCTCAGAAAGTAAAGGCAGTTAAAAGCAAAAAAGCAATTTTATACATTACATCAACAAACCAGGGATAAGCAGTTTGCCAGTTCTGAGATCAGCTCAGTTGCAGGTTTCGCAGGGTGACTTCACCGGCTTAATTTTCTCCCTGTGTGTCCCACCATCCCCCTCCCCGCTCTGTGAAACACGAGCACCAGCCAAAAAACAAAAACAAAAAAGAGCTTAAATGCCAAGACAGAAGTAAAATTCTGGCTTATATAAGCAGCTTTCCCATTGTTCAGTTATATTAAAAACGCACAGTCTAAGGTGACTACCAGCTAGCCCTTTAAGTACTGCAGAACTATAATAAGAGTTAATTCTTAACACATACATACACAAGTTATGAAATGTTTTGGATTTGGTTTTTTTTCCCCTGAAGGCTGGTTAGTTTTCCCACATACAGTGGGGACTATGCCAGCTAATAACACAAACATTAGTATCTGGTCTAACAAAAAGTAGATTGCTTATAATACCTTCAAATGGATATGAAAACATCATGTGCCACACTAGATTTCACAAAACACGGAGAGTCACCCAGAAACAAACTATTTGCTTTATTGTAAAGCAAGACGCTTTTCCCAAAGCCAGTATATCTATTTTGCAATAACACATCTGCTGAAACTAGCATGGGAGCCCCAGTTTTTGCAGACAGTTAAGTGTTTAGTTTCATGCAGCAGAAGCTGTTCCACTTCAAAAACAAAACAATCCCCAAAAAACAAAAACCACCAAAAGAAGCCCCCAAACCCCCTACACATAACTAACTTTAATCTGAGCATAGAATTTTAGCAGTTTTGCAGGATTCAGTGAAATGACCCATCACCTTCAGTTAAGCATGTGAAACTTGGCAGGTTGGGGGTGAGAGAAAAAGACAGTTGGCCCTGTACCATTGTAAGAAAAATTGTGCAAGTCTGAATAATACCATTTCTGAAAATATATACTAGAATTCAACTGAATTACTTAACAGTCAAATTTACCATATTCTGAGTGACAAAAAGACAGACTTTGCTATTTGAGCAACTTCCACTGCAAGCTTGCAAAGAGAACTAATGACCACTAGCTTGGGAATTCTGTATTGAATTAACCATGTGCTAGGATACAGAACATGGTGATGGCTTTCATCAGCCCACAACCTTTGCATATCTAAATTCAGCAGAGTAAAGGTATTCCAAATATAGGTCTAGTGCACAGCAGGCTGTCTGCTGCAGTCAAGTGATCAGGTATTTCAATTTAGCAGGGAATATATTGATATCCCTTCTTCTATTCTTCCAGCACAGGACTTTGGACAAGGCTGCCAAACGGTGACTTAAATTGTCATTCCATTCTGAAAGATGGGTTTGGACTCCTGGGAGCCCTAGTTGGAGGACCCTCCAGATCATCTCAAATCTTATTTGAAGTAGTTGAAGTATACAAAACACACACAACTAACAGACCATTAGAAAGTCAATTTGACCTTGGAAAGTTATAAAAATAATACTTGGAGGAAAAAGCCCCCAGACAAGCTTCATACTTGGATTTTTATTCACTTACTCCCTTTGGCTAGTGCTACAAATTAAGGAGTAAGTAGCAGAGCTTGAGGGGAAAATAAAATACAATCTCTCAACCTAATAACAACATGGGTTTGAGTTACAAACGCAGGCAGAGGTAGTTTTAGCAGTTAGTGTTGAACAGCTGCAGAGAATCAAGCTTAGAACAAAATTTGGTTAAATGTAAGATTGTATTTCCAAATACAATATTGTTACTGCACTGATGAACTTGCAGTTTAGGTCAAGGTCTGTCATGTTACTGGGTTTTCATTTCTGAGGAGCTATAGATTGAAAAATCTATAAACAGGTTGCGGAGGCTTGTTCCAAGCGCTCCCACACAGATTTGTGCTCCTACAGTGTCTGGGGAATTTTTTTTCCTCCCCTGCTCCTTGGAGAAACTTTAATTTTTCTACTTAAAGGCAAAGATATTTCATAATCAACCCACCTTAACAGTGTCAAAGGGGTGTCCTACCAGCACTCCAGCAGCACCTGAAACAAAGCAAATGCCATGGTTATTACTCTGAGTTTTCTTCCTGGGTCTGAGGCTGCAGTAACACAAGCAGGACCACCAGCCTGAGCTGTGAGTGCACAGCATTGTTGTTGACAGACCAGGTAAAGAATATCCAATCAAATCAGAAGACAAGAAATCTACAATTCAGTCCTTCAGACCAGTACTAGGTGCCTTTATGCTTCTCTTCAAGCTTCTGAGCCCCAGGCAGGGGTTGAGGTGTGTGACTACAGAGCATGCCACATCATAGGAATGTGCAGCTGTGACTCCTGGCCTCAGCCCAAGGCAAGTCCAGCAGACAGAAAATGCAGGTTTCCTCCCGAAGCAATGTTTCAGGTACATGACACTCTTTGCAGGCGCAGAAAACATGTAAGCTTCTCTAAAGGCACAAGAACATCCCTGCTCTCAGCCTTTCTAGATGTGATAGCAGCACCTGCAGCAGGACCAAGCATTACCAAAAACCTTTACTTTATTTTAGCATTAAAGGACTTTACAGAAGTCACATGCAGGCCTATTAGTTACACCAATCTGAATACAGGCATTTTGCACAGGCTGAAGCAATGAATCCTCTAGCTCTGTATTTCTGTGACCCAGCAATCCTTAACGACCGCTGACAACAGTGAGAACTACAAGAGCTTCAGTGCGCCTTCCCATGTTTGCAGAAAAATATCTGCCATCCCTCACCCGAGGAAGATGTGGCATCAATACAGTGCCCACCCCAGGATGGTGCAGCCCAGGTTGCTCAAGGCCAGCACAGCGACAAGACAGCCCAGGACAGAAAAACAGCGCTGTGCAGTCTGTTCGGCATGGAAAGGCCAGTGGTACAACTGACCCCGGGGGATCCCCGGGAAGGCAAGGATCACTAGGATGAAGTGTGAGAGAGGCTAAAAAAAAAGAAATTAGAAAACAAAAACCTCTTCGCCAGGTTGGCAAGGAGAGCAGCAAAACGCAAATACCCGAAAAGAAGCGAGAATAAATCTCCTGAACACAATTTAACAGCTGCTAAAAATAGCAGGAGGCAGGCCGGCAGCAGATGCACCGGGAAGCGCAGAACGCGCCGTACGCGTTCTCTCCTCCTCTCCATCTTAAAGCTCCCCGCTGTCAGTGTGTGCAGGTCAGGGCTCCCGCCCGCGCCGCTGCCCCTGCGCTCACCCCAGACCCCTCTTCCCACCCCGCTCCTTCCAGTTCCTTCAGGCAAACGCCGGTGCTGCGGCACGGCCGCGGAGGGGACGGCCCGCACCCCCCGACCACAGGGGAACCACGGGGAGTCCCCCCAGACCCTCCCCGCCCGTGCTCGGCACCCACCTGCAGCGGGGCGGCCGCGCTCATCGCCCCCGAGCCCGGCACCCTCCTCCGCTCCCAAAATAACAGCGCCGCGCCCAGCCCTCCCCTCCAACCTGCCTCCCTTTCTTCCGCATTAAAGAAAAGAATTCTTATTTTCCCCATTCTCCGCCTTTTCTCCCTTTGCCACCTTTTTATTTTTCGCACCGCACTCCCCTTCTCCTTTTGCACTTATTTTTATTTTCTTCACCCTCTTCTCCTTTCTTTTCCTTTTTCATCCCCTTTCCCTCTTTCATATATATATAAATATATATTTTTTTTTCCCCCGCAGAGCTCCCGCTGCTACTCACCGCCGACACATCCCGCCAGGAAATCCAGAGCCATGCCGGCACGGTGTGTCCCGGCGAGGTCCAGCCGTGCGACGCCGCCACCCCGCGCTCTGCCGCCGCCCGCCCGCCGCCCGCCCTTTCTACCCTCCGCCTCCCCTCCCCGCCCGCCCGAGAGGGGCCGGGCCGCCACAACGGGGGCGGGGGCGATGGGACAACTCCCCCCCCGCCGACCCCATCCACTGGCGGCCGCTCGGGGGCGGCTCCGGCCAAAGGGCGGGACGGGGATGCGGCTGCAGGGAACGTGGGGGTGTCCAGCGCTGCGCGCCCCTTCTGCATTTCTGACTCCTTCCCCCCCCCGCCTCCAACCTACAACCTGTCACTTCTTTCTCAGCAGCAGCTGCGTTACTAACCAGAAGTAAAGGCTGGAAAAAATTTAGGAGGCTGCAGAGGTGGTGGTTGGGGGGTGGAGGGGACAAAGTATCCCTCCTGCAGAGCATCAGTATCACCAGAGTTGATTTGGGTAGTTTGGGGAGACATCTTGCTTTCTAGGGAGGCACCCCTGGGTGCTGGTGGTTGGAAAGCCTGTGGAGCTGATGTTATGAGGACTTTGAAAGGGGTGAGACCTTTTAATAAGAGTGAAATGCCTGTAGCACCTCTGCTATGAGGAAAGAACAAGACTCAGGGCTGTTCAGAAGAGAAGGCTGTGGGGGAGACCTTGTTCACAGAATCACATAATGGGTCAGGTTGGAAGGAACCACTGTGGGTCATCTGGTCCAACCTTCTTGCTCAGGCAAGGTCATCCCAGAGCATATGGCCCAGAATTGTGTCCAGATGGTTCTTGGAAATCTCCAGTGAGGGAGACCCCACACCCTCTCTGGTCAGCCTGTTCCAATGTGTGGTCAGTCACCCACTCAGTGAAGAAATTCTTCCTCATATTCAGGAGGAACGTCCTGTGCATCAGTTTCTGCCCATTGACTCAATCTATTTCTTGTGGCCAAGAAGAGCCTGGTTCCATTTTCTTGACACCCTCCCTTCAGATACTTACAGACATTGATGAGGTCTCCTATCAGTTGTCTCTTCTCAAGGCTGAACAGGCCCAGCTCCCTCAGCCTTTCTTCATAAGAGAGATGCTCCAATCCTTTGATCATCTTTATAGCTCTTGGCTGGACCTGCTCCAGGAGCTCCATGCCTCTCTTGTACTGAGGAGCCCAGAACTGGACACAGTAATCCAGATGTGGTATCATCAGGGCTGAGTAGAGGGGCAGGATCACCTCCTTCAACCTTCTGGCAATGATCTTCATAATGCATCCTATTTATTGTGGCCTTTCAACACTTATAGGGGGTTTATGAAGGTGGAGAGAGACTTTTTACCCAGGGCCTGTTGTGACAGAACAAGGAGTAACCGTTTAAACTAGAAGAGGGCAGGTTTAGATTAGATACTAGAAAGAAATTCTTTACTGGGAAGGTGGGTAGGTCCTGGAACAGGTTGCCCAGAGAAGCTGTGGCTGCCCCATATCTGAAAGTGTTCAAGGCCAAACTGAATGGGTTTTTGACCAACCTGGTCTAGTGAGAGGTGTCCCTGCATATGCAGAGGGGTTTGGAACGAGATGATCTTTAAGGTCCCTTCCAACCCAAACCGTTGGAATTATATAACCAGATTCCCCCCCCCCCCCACCCCCAACCAGTGTTGTCCCAGACAGGGAAGGAAGGGTTGCACCAACAGATATGCATTTTTATGTGCCCCCATGGCACAATAAGAAGTGTGAGCATGAGACTCTATCTCTGATAGTCAAAGCCACAAATCAGTATCTTGTTGCCCGTGGAGCTTGGCAGAGCCCTGGATCTCAGTCTTATACATCACTGCTGCACTTCACCCTGCAGAACAGGCCTCTCCCCTTCCCGCAGGCTTTTCTTGTTCTTCATTAACTCTGTTTTCCTGCTAACATTGCCTGGCTTCAGGATGCCCCAGTGCCAGAGCCTTTAAATGGGGAACTCAAGCTGTTGACAGTTTTGAAAAGGGAGCCCTGTTTAAGCTGCTCGTTATTTCTGCAGGCAATGTCTGAGAAAGGGGAATACCAGTGGCCTAGAACAATAAGTAGCCTATTCCAGATCTGCTTAGAGTAACACAATCTTCAGGGCCTGCACAGTCACCTTTTAGAGGGTAAATTCCAGAAGCAGAATGGAAAAGCAGATGGATTTTTTTTTTAATTGCTTCCCATCGTATGGCAGTTATTTTCTAGGTGTAGCAGCTCAATACAAAGTCAATAAAATCTTGCAGTGGAATAGTATATTAAAAATCAAGCCAGCTTTTACTTCTGAGCAATGATGGCACACAAACAAATGAGAAAGAAAAGGAAGCTTACAAAGTGGTCTGAAACTACTACAGAAAAAAACCTGAGAACCCGTCCCATATTTAGCAGCTCTTGGACCATCATTACAATAAATAAGCAGGTAAGATGGAAATGTAAAGCACTCAATGAATCCCTGACGTGCCCCATATCTTCTTCCAACCCAGTGTTCCTTTAGGTTCCTTCTCATCCCTAAAAGCTGTCAAACCAAATCAAGCACCAAGGTGTCTCCAGGATGCTTTGGGTTTCCTGATTCACACACCTCTCCTACCTGGGGACAACCAGTTGGTATCAGAGACCAGGTAGGCAGGCTGGTCCTGCCCTTTGCCACAGACAAATTGCCAATGGAGTGGCCTGCCCACTCCTACTCTATGATCCACTTCCTAACAGGAACCTTAGATCTCATCAAACTCATACACCTGCAGCCAGCACCTCAGATCAGACAAGAAGTCCTCATCAGTCCATTTTTCTTAAACATTTTATCCAAGTATAAGTGAAAGTGACTTTCTCTCACTGAATCTTGTCCACTCTGGCATCCGTGGGAAGAACTACTACCTCCCACGTGCAGAGTCCCACAGGTGAAAATCTGGGTAATATATGCATCTGCCTTGTAGTACAAGTCTTGGAAGGATCAGCTTGGACTAAAACATTCCTGGACAAAGTGGTTTTAATCTGTTATTCAGATCCTCTGAACTCACAAGCAATCTGCCTCAGAGGAATTACCTTCTCCACCAGAAGTGTTTTTGTAATCAATGTTTACCCACAATGGTCAGGGAAAACATTTCTTCACTCTTTGTAGGCACTTCTTAAGTTATCTGACGATAGTTTCAATCTTAGTATTTTGTCCTCTGAATGAAATTAATTAATATCCTTTGATCTCTGAATCCTCTTACCCCTCTCTATCTTCAGCTGGAGTTCCTTGAGCTGAGCCCTAAGGCCTTGCTAAGGGAGTGCTGGGAGATTACACCAGGTATTTGCAGACAACACTGAATATGAGATCAGATATTTGCAGGAGTCATAACATAACATAACATAACATAACATAACATAACATAACATAACATAACATAACATAACATAACATAACATAACATAACATGATTTGTTCACTTATGGACTGCCTGACACATGATGTGCTCCAGATCCTTTCCAGTAGATCAGCTGTGTGCCACAATGTTCCCTATTTTGACCTTTCAGCTTTTTTCTATAGTCATTCCTAGCTGCTCACGCTAAATTGCTTTTTCCAGATTGTATTTCCAGTTTGTCAAGATCACTTGAATTCTAATCCTGCTGTTGATGTTTGTGCAACCCCTCCCAGGTTGCTGCAATCTCCTAAGGCCTGTCTTGTTCCTGTATGCTTGAGCTGTTCCTATTAAGCTTTATTCAGTGTTATGGATTTTTTTTTTTTCAATGCTATTGAACATTGGAGCATTTCAGATGAGGGGGCACTTTATATACTAGTGCAGAGAACATCAAGGGCTTGTTGATATAAAATCTGAGATGTTCAGGGTTGGTTCACTAACAAATAAGCATGGCTTTAGTCTCACTTTTGTTCATTTTTTCTTGCTTGGGGTTTTGTTTTGCTTTCAGTTCAAGTTACACTTGTGAGGCAGTTTTGTGTAAATGTGGAGGAGCTTATTGAGTTTGTGTGTGGGGTGGGACAGTGAGTCAATATAGATGTTTATATTTGTGTGTGGCTTCCATAGGAGCTTTGTGATTAAGGAAAGGAAGTCTTACAGCTCTTACAGTTTGGTAGTATTTCTCAGACAACGTATTTTGCCTATTGATCCGAGGCCTTATGTGTGCAGTACAGATATACTTTTGGAGAGAGAAGACCTAACCTGACACTGAAGGAAACACAGATTTAATGGTTCTCTTCACTGAGCCTGTTTTTCTAGATATTTCACAAGCTGTCTGATCTTGTGTCCACTCCGTTGATGTGTGATGTCTCTGTCTCAGAGCGTGACTCAGATGCCTGTTGGGACTCTTGTGCCCTTCAGGCTCCATAGACTTGGCTCAGCTGTGACTGCCTTTCTATTCATTCTGCTGAGGCTGTTCCAAATACAACTGCTGGGATGCATCCCCTAGAGTGCTGGAGTGCAGGGTTGTGCTTTCCCTGCTTTCTTCTTATTTGGGAGCATTTAGCTTCCCTGCTGGATGGAGAAATGTGTGGGCTACTCAAAGAAGGCAGAGAAGAAAGAGCTAATGGCAGCTTGGGAAACATGTCGAGTCTATCAGCACATACAGCAGCTGCACTGCCACACGTCTGAGAGAAAAGCTTATTACTTGATATTATCCTTCAAACAACCTCTTTCTTTTGTCCCTTTGTGTTTTAGGTCTGAGGTGTGGCAATTCAGATGGAAGAGGCTTTGCAGAGGATGCTGGCGGGGTGAGATATCAGAGAAGGTTTCACCTCATTCCTGTGGCAGGAAGTGAACCTGTCAACTGCCTGCTGCCCTTGATGGCACCCAGAAAAAGATCTGAGAGTGGGTAACCGCAAATGGAAAACAGGGAAAGACAGGAGACAATCAGGGAAGGGAGCATAATCAGGCAGAGAATAAGCAGCAGGGCAGAGTAAACACTGCAGGTAAACCAAAAATGAAGTGAAAGGGCAAAGGCAGAATGAAGTAGAAAGGGAACAGAAATGTGGAGTTGTGACAAACTCAGAAAATCTGCTAGCAATGTCATGCAATAAAATATAGATTGTTGGCTCAAGTGCTTCAAAATCTTTCTGTTTGCTTGTGAATTTGGCATCAACAATTGCCCATGTCCT